ACACACACACACACACACACACACACACAATAACTTTTTGTGATCAATATCTACATGCTTCTTTTTACCTCCTCTGTTGGGTGGTTAGCAGGTACTCTGATGTGGTTTGCTCCTTCTTTCTTTTCAAACATTTATCATCTTTGTCTCTCCTTATTCTTTTATTTGTAAGTTACTCTCTAGTATCATCTCTACTCTTCGGCACTCATATCTATTGACCTCTTTTTTGTTGCAAGTGACGCAAAACTCTTACATAAATAAAACTCCTTGGTTCCACAGAGGAGAGTCTGGCGCTGGTAAAACAGAGAACACCAAGAAGGTCATCCAGTACCTGGCCTATGTGGCAGCCTCCAACCGCACCAACAGACAATCGGTCAGCTCGCTCCAAGTGCCTGTAAGTAGTGACTACACACTCCCTCCCCTTTTACTGAAGCGAAGTTTTCCTAACATAGAAAGCCTTAGTGTTTTTGTTGGTGGCCGGGGGTTTACAACGGAAGTCTAGTGGTTGCACATAGTGTTGATAACGCTGGTTGTATGTAACACAGTGAGTGTGCTAAGCAGTTGTTGATAAACGCTGTTGTTGATATGAGTGCGGTGAAATAATTAAGCGCCAGCTTTACTTTAACTGCCAGGGAAGTAATTGTATTGCGTAGCCTTTCATTGAATTGAGCAATGTAAAAGCAACAGTATTAATTTTTCCATCATTTTTAGGGACTGATATTCCATTTTGGACGGGGAGGCCATTAAAACGTAACCCAAATGTTTTGTGTCAATCAATGATGTAGTATTAAATTAAGTTGTTACTTTCATTTTTCTTAACAAATCAGTCTTTTCATGAGACTGCAGAAATGCAATATTTTTTCAAAACATTTGTTTGTTTTTTTTAAAGGTTTTTTGGGTTTTTTTGGGTTCATTTTGTTTCCTTAGCCAGGTCACAATAGAAATCAGTGTTTGGTTTTAGAAAATAATTTGGTCATGCTAGTGAGGAAAAGATTGGTATTTACTAATAAGTTGTTTCACCTTCAGCTAGCTCAAAAGATGTTTTTATAAATCTTCAAACTTTTATGTGATACCGTGTTATAAAAACTTTTAAAAATCCCATAGAAATTCCATTTCCTCATTTAAAAAGAGGAACAGCATTGATTTTTATATCTCTTCCTTGATTCACCTATCTGCTTCACAGACTTTATTATTACTTGAATGGCATTGCTTGCTTGTGTTTGGGCATGACTACTGACACGTTCAACAGGCCAGAGGGTTTTTAATGCCCTTTTGTTTTGTCTCAGATGACAAGTAACTGCATGCCTCTTGCAGGCAGACATTCTTATCTAAAGCATGACATTTATGGTTTTGTCTAATCTTTACATTTTTTGTTTTTTTGGGCATGTCTGTCTAGAACCATCCTTTCCTGATCTTTCTTCTTCAAGTGAAAAAGTTTTAGATAGCCATTTGAGACTGCAACATAAATTGTTTTAGAATCTCAAACTCAACTTTTTAAATTTTTTTGGTTGCTCTTTCTGGTAGTTTAGTATTTGTAGTCCTGATCTGTTTGAGACCTTTTTTTTTTTAGTTTTTAGTTTTGCAACATTTTTTTTTAACCTTTAGTGGCAGAAGTTTTTAAAAAGTTTCGTAGTGAAATCGGTTCAGTGACTTAGATTATCAGATTAGTCTTTGTCTCTTGCATTCCGTACAACTTTCAGAAGAGTCACTGATTCCGCTCAGTTACTAACAGTATGGATTGCAATAAGTGCCTCTATGTAGTTTTAAAAAAATTTACAGTGCTTATTTTTTTCTTCTTCTTTTTTTTATTGATTTCTTTTAGTAGCATGATCACAAATCAAAATTCATAGAAAGAATGAAGGCCATTTCTTTCTTTTAGTTTTAAAAATGGTATCTATTAAAGAAAATAGCATGGGTACAGTGAAACTTAGATATATTGACATGCCCTTGTTTTGTACTGGAGGAGCACAGTTGCTTTTCTTCAAAGACAAGAAAAAAAAAGTATGATGATATCATCCGAAGGACTGCAGTGAACAGGATGATGGATTAGCAATATAATCCATTTTGTTTACAGATTTATCTTTGATAAACATTTCATGGAAGGATTAGGATTGGATAGTCTGTGCACATGTACAAACTGTTGAAATCTGATTACATTCTTGGGGTGTCTTATGCCTTCTAATTAATCATAGTTCATTTGCTCTGTCTTTTTCTTTTTGGCTTCGCTTTTTTTTATCTGAAGTTAGAATACATGTAGTATTTACGCTACAAAGGGGTATCAGCTTGTATTTGATTTACTTTTGTAGCATTGTTTCCTTTTTTATTCTTCCCTTTTGAGGGATGGTTTGGGCCAGGCTAGAGTGTGGTACCATGCTTGATATCATCCGTTTCATTTGTTTCTTTCTCCCTGACATGTATTTCTGGTGATGTTGAAACACATATATTTCTTCTCTCCATGCCATCATATCTCATCAGCAGGATGGAGGGAAAAATGTAGATGCTTTGAAACAGGTACTTGCCCCCTCTCTGGTCCTTTTGCTATCCCCTACGTAAAAATGTACGTTTCTTTTAACTCGGCTCCAAGTGACTATCGGAAATCGTTCATTGTTTCATAAATCTTTTGTTTTAAAAAAAATTATTTGTCATTATCAATGCCTGTAAGGGTTTTAGATTGTAATGTTCTGACGTTTAAGTGAAAAGATTGAAAAAAGAATGTAATTAGAAAAAAACACATAAATGGTCAGGACGATCTGAACGATTTTTGTCAGCACCTGACCCAATTTTTTCCCTTGTGTGTTTTGGTTGTTCTCTCAAGCCAAGTATTTTTAGAAAGAAATTCAATTTCTTTTTGTGGATACATGTTTTGAGTGAGGGCTTGGTTTGCTTTTTTCTCTAGCTTCACACCTTATTATTTGTACAGCACACTGTAGTTTTTTCCCCTTTTGCTGCTTGTCCATGCTTTCAGCTAGAGTGATAGCTTTTGTCAGTGTTCAAGAATGATTTTTGATAGACAACGATTCTTGGCTTTACTTGAAAGCTTGCAAACTTGATTTGATTACAAAGAATACCCTCTGCTGTATACACTTCAAACTATTCTTTCATTACTGCTCTGTTTGATAATTCTTGTAGTATTTTCATGTTTTATAACTCTGTTAATATCCTCCTTATATCGAAACAAAATCAGGTTGTATGACTATACTACATTCATATATAATTTGAAGCTTCTAAAATTTTGTTCTGAGACTTTGACTCGTCATATTTAAGGATCAAAATGCCGTCTGTTTGATGAATTTCTGTTTTAGTATAGAAAGACAGAATATGCTGGATTCATCTTGTCTTTTGGTGATCATATTATGTTCCATTTAATGGCATACAGTCGTTCAGTCTAAATTGTGAATGACTTGTCTTTTAGTATAATATTTACAGGCATGAACAGGTGAAATAACAACATAAAATTCTCACAACTGCATCACATGCTAGAGATGGCTTCTGTTTGGAAAGAATAAAAGTCTTTTGAGAAAATAGGTGGTACAGAAATTGTGTGTGACCAAAAAAAACAACATAAGTAGTAAATAACTGTGTCCAATACACTGCATATTGATTGTCTTATCTGTAGTATTGCACATTTCTTTCCTTTCTTTTGTGTATGGCTTGTCGTTAATAGAACATAGAATGCTCTGCCCAAGAAGCAGCAGAAATTTGCCCAGATGGCATGGAATCCCTGTTCCTCAAAACCCTCTATACAATTTTCTTCAAGTGTTATTTTTGTATGATATCAAAAGGAGTGAAATAACAGCATAGAATTCTCACGACTGCATAACTGTTTGATATGTGTGCACCAAAAAATAAGAGTGAAGTGACACTTAAATCCCTGTAATTTTGTTCTCTTTTATACTACCCTCTCTGAAAGTGTTTTGTCCAATATCCGGTATACTGATTTTCAGTTCAAATATTGATGTATAAGAAACTTTTAAATAATGGGGAAAGTTTGTTCTTTGTGAGCAACACGTCAGTTTTTCTCTCAAAGATCTTCATTCAAGGAACAGGAAATGAATCAGCTTTAATGTGTCTGATCTGGTAACATGTCAAGTCTTTGTATTGATTTTATTACTACTTTTCTTTAACCAGAGTTCTTGGTAAATATTTGTTTGATCACGAAAAAGAACTTTGGGCCCTTATGTCAGAAATTTGAGCATCTTATTTGTACCAATTCTACTCTTTCACTTTGTTAAGCCTTTTTGCTGCTGAAAATAATATGAAAGAATTGCATTAGTGACTTAGTAGTTCTGTAATGTAATCCATGAAAGCAATAATACCTTTTTTCATTCAAGACAATCTAATTCTACCTGCCCTTCTCCAGTATTGTTCACCTTATATTTCTCTTCTGTCATAGAAATCATAATCTTGTTTTATGTAAAAGTACACTACACTTCATTTTCTCACATTTTCAAACATAATTGCTCACTGCTTTTGCCACTGTTGCTTTTTGCCAGCAGAATTGCTTCTCCGGTTTGCCTTTGACCATGCCATGTATACCTGTACTCATTTGCCTTTCTTTTGCCCCGTGTTTGTGGGATGCATTGGATGATTTCAGCTTTATTTCATCAGAATAACCAAAGAAGGACACAGCTGCCCTCATATAACTGCATCAAGCCTCTTTTTCTGTAATAGCAATATACTACATCTTCTTTTCCTCTTTCTATTTCTATATATATTGCCTTGCAACACCTCAATTTGCATGCCAAACTGGATTTGATAAAAGTGATGTGACAAAAAGTATTTCAATGGACGGTATGAAGAAAAAAAGCCAGACTGTAACTCTAAAGTAAAAAAAATAACCTGTTCGGGCATAGATGTTTATTTCAGTGTCAGCGGAATATATTTGACATGGAAAAGAAACTTTTTTTCAAAGCTTATGACTTTTGAACCTTTCCTCCAAATAAAACTTGGACGTTCAGTCTGTTTTGTCGCTGCTGTGTTTTGAAACAGTTTGACTGATAAATTTCACAAAACATTGTTGGACAACCTTTCAAGATATTGCCCTAAATTCACTTGAGATCATGAAATGTTTCACTGGCCAGTTGTAAACATAACAATTTGATGGATTATTACTAATTTTTTTCTTGCATGTAAAAGGAAGCATGGACTAAAATTATAAGCTGACTACAAATTTTGATCGCTGTATTAATCTGGTTAGCTGAAGGTTAGCTCCATAACTAGTCAGTTTGTTACTTTTTCCTATTGCTACTGTGGCTTTACGAGTTTAGAAAGAGTCAGTACAGTAGGTTTGGCACAGAAAATATTTTTGTAAGTTAATGGAGAAAAGAATATTCTAAGCAAAAAGAAAAATGGAAATATGAAAAGAACCCTGTCATGGATGAGTTGTTTTGAATGTATCTACTCGAATGTTCTTTCAAGGATCAAAGTAGATGTATTCATGGGTGGCATGATAAAATTGAGAAAGTGGCGGGGGAAGCGATGTTAAATGTCATAAGATTTTTATATTAATGGCTGCCTGTGCCTGGCTTGTCAAAAGATAAAATAGGGGAGGAATTTTGTTGAGGTTAACAATTCTGTTATATATCATTGCATTGGAAATTGAATCGGAATGGTTTAAAAAAGGTTACATTCTTGCCTATATTGACCTTCATTTTACACAATGAGGCCTTTTGTTACAGCATTTTCTTTTGAAATTTGTTTCATATTTTTTTAGGGACTAAAGTGTTTCTTTTTGTTTAGGTGATTACCATATTTAAAATTTTTTTAACAAGAAGGTAGCATGTGTTGTGAATGTTCCCATTGTTGGTATTTCAAAGATATTACAGTGGACGAAAGTTGTGCACTTTGTTTCTTGATGTTGTCTCTGCCGTGACATTTGTTTTGCCTTTTTGAAAGAATGATCCATGATCTGTCTTTTTGAAAGAATGATCCATGATCTGTCTATTTCAAAGAATGATCCATGATCTGCCTTTTTGAAAGAATGATCCATGATCTGCCTTTTTGAAAGAATGATCCATGATCTGTCTTTTTGAAAGAATGATGTGTCATTGATTTGTTCATAGTCATCGGGGAATGCCTACTGGACACTGCAAAAATCAACAGATCTGAATGTACTCTTGTACAGAATTGAAGTACTTACATGCACAGTGTCCCCCTATAAATACTTGGAACCTTTTTTATACAGCCGTTAATGAAATACGAGTGGTGAAAAGTTTGAGAATTGTTTCCATGGGGTTGTAAAATGTCTGCAATAACATTGTTTTTCATTTTTAAAAACTTTGAGAATTGTGTCAATGGGGATGTAAAACATGGCCAACAACAATGTATAAAAAAAGCTTTGAGACAAACTTTTCTTAGAAGGACGTTAAATTGAGTCAACTGTCTGGATCAAAAGGATGAGCAGCGTTGAACTATGAGCTTAGGATTTGCATTGTGAATCTGTTTCGAGGTCCTGGCTATTTGCACGGAGTGCCGAGAGCAGCATGTGTGAAGGACAGGAATGTCAGGTGGCAGACAAGTTTGCCTTGATGGCTAGATTTTGACCGTAGCTTGCAGCTCTAGGGCATTCTGGAGGAAACATGAGTTGTGAAACTTTGTTTGCTGCCGCGGCATGTCTGACATTGAAATGTTCTCTCTCTCTCTCCATTTTTTCCTTGTTTCGTGGATACCTACTGTTGTCCCTCCCTCCTAGAACAAGGATTTCAACCTTGTAAGTACACCGAGTCATTTGCCTAGCATCAGCCTCATCTTCACTGTCATCCCATCCCACCCTTGTATCCCACTACCTGCCCGCCCTCCCACCACCCCATTTTAACCTCATCGCTACATGCTCCATTCCCCCCCCCCCCCCCCCCCCCCACCCTTTTCCTCACTTCACCCCAGGTGACAATGGGTACCCAGCTATTTTTTTGTTTCTCCAAGGAAATTTGGTTCCTTCTGTAACATAGTAAAGGGAGTTTCTTTGTTACTTTAATTGTTTTGTTTTTTGTCTTTCATCTTTTAAAACTTTTTTTTTGGGGGGTGGGGGGGGGGGGGGGAGATTGAATGTAATTAAATTCATAAATCAATTGTCTGTGAAGGGGGGAGTGGAGGGAGGGATAGTTCAAGGATTTTACAAAAGTTCAGCCTACATAAGATGGTGCAAATTGTTTGAATAACATGAAACTGCATGGCTCACATGAGTTCATCCTGGACATCTTTCATGGTCTTATTTCTACTATTCAGTCATTTCATCGTTTTTGAATTTTCGCTCTTGAGCATTTTGTTGAAACATGAGACAAATTTGAAAAGGTATTTCTCATTGGTGGAAATACTTTATCCCTCTTCAAACAAGCATGCGCATTTATGTTTTAAGTTATGTTTTTTGTGTATACTCTTTGTTGCTGAATTCCTTGTGTCGGTTTCATTTGCTGCCATCTCGGGTTTTCATGTGCCATTTTCCTATCATTTGTCACATTGGGTCATTACATATTTATCTTTGTTCAAACATAATCAAATGTTCTTGTCATTATTTTTATTTTGCTTTGTAATCATCCTTATTTTCTTTTTAAATGTTGTCATATATATATATTTATATACATACAAAGTTTGAATTTCATTGTTCATTGTAATGGTATAAAAGATATCTTGATTCATGTAAGATCTCCTGGCAATGTGTGAACCAGTTATGTTGTGGTAACAACCCTTGAACTTTAATTAAATTAATTATTATTTGAGCAGAAAACTGCAGCTTTCTTAGTAGTAAGGTACTCAAGCATTTTCTGTTTCCGTTGAGTAATGCAGAATGAAGTTTTTGGTCTTGGAAACTGGAACTCATGCTTTTGTTTATTAATTTGAGATGGACAACCTTGATTAAGTAGGTGACGCCACTTGTGGGTCTCACGTCTTTTTCTTTCCATCTATTGTTTCTGTCTGTCTGTCTGTCTGTCTTACTCTTTCCTGGCACTAAATGTCTGTTATTGCATTGACGGGCTTCTCTCTGCTCAATAAACAAACTGATTGATCCTTATTGGGTTGAAGGAACTTCATGTGTTGCTACGAATGTGCTGTGTTAGGTCTGATTTTTGCTTCCCCCGAACCTTAAACCTGTTTCTGATGCGCTGTTTCAGGGAGAACTGGAGAACCAGCTGCTTCAGGCCAACCCGATCCTGGAAGCTTTTGGCAACGCCAAGACAATTAAAAATGACAACTCCTCAAGATTTGTAAGTAACATGTATTGTTGTTCTGATTTATGGTTTCTGTCTAAAAGGATTGTGGAATAAGTCCATCTACTCCTGGGTAGGGATTAGATTATTATGTGTACAAGTACGGCTTTGTCAGAAGAGTTAATACCTCTTAATTTTGTAATACTCTACTAGAATGATTGAGAAACATAATTTTTTAAAATAAAGTTGCCGTTGACTTTGTTTTTATATTTATGTGATAGTCACTGTTGGCCATCTGCTTTGTGGTTGTTTTAAAGGTTAGAGAGAGGGAGCAAGAGAGTGTGTCTGAATATATGGGTGTCATCATTCTCATTTCCTTTATCTGCACCCTAAGTTTTGCAAGTCTGAAAAGATGTATGTATATATTGTTTCTACCAAGCTGTTAGTTTAGTCACGCATTTTAGGTGTACAAAGTATATACTCATTTTTGCCCTCTGTCTCTCTTTCAGGGAAAATTCATCCGCATCAACTTTGATTCTTCAGGCTACATATCAGGTGCCAACATTGAAACATGTATCCTTGCAACAAAACGTTGCACACATGGGCAACAGTATGGATTTTTCGTATTTTGTGATCTTGAAAATTATTCTAACCTTCTTCACACACACACACACACACACACACACACACACACACACACACACACACACACACACACACACACACACACCCACACACCCACACACACCCCCACACACACACACACACACACACACACCCGCACGCGCACACACCCGCACGCACGCACACACACACACACGATTGACAAATGACTTTGGTGAAAGGAAAAAAGGGGGGATTCAAAATGTGGCTGTTTGAAATGAATCTGAAAAAGGAATTTGAGGTTTGAGGAAAGTAAATATGTATTACCCCATTTATAATACTCCCTCCCTGAGACACAGACACACATGCACACACACACAAACACACACACGCACATTCGTTCTTGCACACTGTCAAATAATGAAATAGCCCCTGTCACTTTCACTGTTTTACACTGTAGTTGGATTTTTGTTCCTTAACCCATGATAAGATCTTTTGGAGAAATCCAGGTCTGTACGTCAGGCAGAGAGTGAGAGAGCTTTCCACATCTTCTACCAGTTTCTGCTGGGAGCCAGTGCTGCCCAAAGACGTGAGTTTTCAAAGTTTACAAATTCTTTTGTTGTATGTATTTGTGAATTTTTTATAATCTTGTACACATATACCGTTTAAGAGTTAAATCAATAAGCAATCAGTTTTTATTTTTTTTCCTGTAGTGATTTCATTATCTAAGGTAGAGAGATAAGGAGGATAGATGTATTAGGGGTTCAAAATTATGAATAAACAAAATATATTGATTGCTGTCTATTGATCCTGTGAGGGAAATTGAGTTTACAATGGCAAACACACATTCATACATGAATACATATTTGAACTCATAGATATACATATATTATGTAAAGAATGATAAATACACAATTTTACACCACTGCAAAAACAATTTTACAAATATGCCATCGTTGGTCACCTCTGCAGCGCCGGAATTTACAATTTTTTTCTCTTCTGGAGTTACGGTTATAATGCCTTGCTCTAGGACACACCCCAGTGACCACCCACCTAAATACTGTGTCACCCACACTTGTTTGACATTATTTGTGAGTTGAGCACACTAATAGCGGGTGGTAAGAGGGCGCCACTGAGAGGTCCTACTTTATTCGTTCCTTCTGTTGTTTCTGTCTATTTGTTCTTGCTTCTTACCTGGACTTTATGACCGTTATTGTCTTGATGTGCTTCTCTTTAACTCAAACTCAAAACTTGCAAACTCCCTGACTACTTGTTAGTGGGTGGTTGGCAGGTGCTTTGGTGTGTTATTTTCCTTCTTTCTTATGAAACGTCTATCGTTCTTATCTGTCCTCGTCCTTCTTTTTTGTGTTTGTTACCCTCTTGTAATGTCCCTAATCTTCAACACTTAAATGACCATTTTGTGTTTCAAATGCCGTAAAAAGCTTACTAAAACAATAACCTTTTGGGCATTGCCCCCCCCCCCCCACACACACACAGAGGAGTTTCTGTTGGAGGACATGAGCAAGTACCGGTACATGACCAGCGGCAAGATGCTGGTGACCAACGTGGACGATGCCCACGAGTTCCAGAACCTGGTCTCCTCCATGTCCATCATGGGCATCTCGCCCGACGATCTGTCAGGTGAGAGACTCTCTTCTTTCTGCACAGCTCATAGGTTAATCCCCATTTTATTAGTAGTAGGTAGTAGTTGTTGTAGTAGTAGTAGTATTTTTAGTAGTAGTAGTAGTAGTATTTTTGTTATTTTTATTATTTTTATTATTATTATTATATAGATGAAAGATTCGTCATTGGGGTGGTTGGAGGGCGCTCCAGTTAGACTTTTTCCCCAGTATTAAATGACCATTATTGTGTCAAATGTGCTTCTCTTTATTTGAACATATGTAAAAGATTCTGTTTTTCTCATTCGTCTCTAAAAGGACATCCTAGTCTCTAGTGCAAAGGCTGCTGTGTGCAGCTGGTCCTCCAGGCTCCTGTGGAGTCTTAATGTCTCCATAGGTTAGGCCAATGTGTCCTAAAAATTTTGTTGATTAAATATTAACTCTCTAGTACCAAATCAAAAGGTGTACAGATTTTCCTTTCACTTTCATGATTTTAGTAATTCAATAGTTGTATATACAGTGAAGGAGTGAAGAGAAGAAAAAGAAATGCATAATCACATGCATGGATTTCCCACTCTTTTCATTATCAACTGTTAACTTTTGCTTTGAAATATTTTGCTAATTGTTGTTCACATGTGACTGTGTCGTTCTCACTATAGACATTCAGTTAGTTAGCACATTGTTTTATTGATTTTTACAATCCTGTCCTCAGCCGTTCTGCGTACCGTCTCGGCTGTCCTTCTGTTTGGAAACATGCAGTTCAAACAGGAGAGAAACTCGGACCAGGCTACCCTGCCAGACAATACAGGTAAGAGCACTTTGGCTCATTGACGACCAAGCGATTATAATTCCAAGCAGAGATGTAAAATGCATGTGAATTGGTTACTGTTACATTATAACAGAGATCCTTTTGGAGGTACTGACATCTCTTTGTGGGTTCAGGTTTCTGTCTTGTTTCTACAGAAGAAGAAAAAGGCTGGTTCCATCGCATCAATCTATCAAGTCCGGTTGACTCTTGTGTTTTTAATATTTTTTAAATTTCCATGTTGGATAAGTTAAAGACATAATATCTAAATCATTGTTATTATTATTATTAATACTAATATATGTTGTGTGTCTTTCATTCTCTCTTCCAGTGGCCCAGAAAGCCTGTCATCTGCTCGGGGTCCCTGTCACTGCTCTCACTCAGGCATTCCTTAAGCCTAAGATCAAGGTCGGCAGAGACTTTGTCACCAAAGCTCAGACAAAAGCTCAGGTATGAACTGTGACTGGTCTGTTTTGTAAAAAAAATGTAAGAAAGACCCCTGGGGCGGTGCTACTGACTTGAAGTGTCTGTAGATCATGGGGGGGGGGGGGGGGGGGGGGCATTAACATGTTCTTATAGGCAGTAGAATTGTAAATGGGCTGATTTATCAATGTCATGCTCATAACTGCCTGAACTGCATTTGGGGAACTGCTGCTTTTTCTTTCCTAATCCTTACTATCGTCATTTTCCTCTACACCTTTTGTGTGTTTGTCACTCTCTTGTGACCCACTATTTCAGGGATGCCTTGATAGTCGAAGCAGACTTTGTGCTGTTGAAGCTAGAGAGGTGAGCAGAGTAAGCCTGATTTCCTGTATGGACTTCTCTGTTGACATCCACCCCTTGGCGCTCATATGACCTTATGCAGGTGTGAACGCCGTAAAAACTCTACTAAAACTTAAAGATTGAAAACAGGAAAGAGAACTGAAACTCTCTCGATTCTTTGTTATGGTAAGAGTAACATCCGTCAATGTCTGACGATGACCAATTCATCTGTAGAGGAGAAATTTTTAAAATCAAGTCTGTATTGATCTTTACCCTCTCAGCTGAGTTGTTAAGATGCTTGTGTGGGTGGTTGGCGGGCTCTACGATGGGGTATGTCCAGTTTTCTTTTTTGTTCTAATCTGTTTCCTGGTGGAATGAGGCCAGTATTAGGTTGATCCACCATAACTGCATCTTCATAACTACTTCTTTCTCTCAAAATTCAGGTTCTGTTGTGTCAACTAGTTAAAAGCTTCGTCTCAACTCCTCTTTAAATGTGCTGAACAAGCTAATCTTAAATGAAAGTTGTCCTCAAAGTAGAGGGTATCCAAATGCTATAAATGGTCTTTGTGTATATGATGAATTATATATTTATTAGATTAAAATATTTTGTGGCCTCAAAACACCCCATAAGATGGACTTGAACTTTAATGTTGGTATGAAGGGTGTTTCTACAAGATACCTAGATGGCATTCAGATCTGTGATATGTGTTCTTATTCAGGGCTTGCAGACCGTTGGTGAGTGCGCTGTTGGGATCTGCTCTTCGTACTTTTAAACAAAGTTACTATTTTCCTTATTAGTTCTTAGTGATTTGTGGTTATTTTCAGTTTTCATTGCTGACTGGCAGTGAATTAGCTTACCATCAACTGCTAACTCTGCACTTTTTGATAATGTCTTATACAGGTTGAATTTGCAGTAGAAGCCATTTCGAAGGCGCTGTATGAGCGCTTGTTCAAGTGGGTGGTGATGCGCATCAACAAATCACTGGACCGCACCAAGCGACAGGGAGCAAGCTTCATTGGCATTTTGGATATTGCTGGCTTTGAGATCTTCAAGGTGTGTATTCAGATGCTGGCCTCCTTGCAATTTTCCCCTCTTCTCAAATATACAGCTGTCTGTCAGTAATTTTTTGTCCTTTGGCTCATGTATCCTCATCTCATTCACCAGTGAGGATATCAAAGGATGGGATTTGTCTTCAAATGAAAGACACCCATACCTCTCTTCAAAAAGATGTGGTGTCCTAAGAACCGTGGAGCATGTAATTTAAAAGAAATGTTTGTATACAAACCCGTTTACAGTACAATCATAAACCCGAAAATTAGTTTGTAAGGTCAGATGTATGTCTACCAGTCTGTTGCATCTGTAAGTTACTCGCTGGGTTGATTTCTAGCTAATTTTCCATGTCTAGATTGATGCCATTTCATCAGCCATTATTCTCAAATGGCCTTTTTAGTTGCTGACCTGAAGTAGGTCTCCAAATGTATGGGATGTGGTGTGTAAGATGTGGTACACCGTTGACTCTCTGGTGTTGTTTCAAAACAAAACCTGATGACTTGTGCATTTTTGTTAGCGACTGTTTTTGTGGTGACATGAGGTAGATCTTCGAGACAAATTGTATTACTTCACAGTATTGTTTGCCTGAGCACCAGAATAAAACGAACAAAAGGGAAGCCTAGAAACTATGAACATTTTACTTCCACTGTTTGCAGATCTTACCAGTTTTTTTGGCACCCTCGTCTTCTTTCCTTGCAATCAGACGTTTCAGTTTTGGTGTATTATTCGGTTGATGGTGTAAATGGTGTCAGCAAATATTTTTTAAAATGTATTTTCTGATGTGAACATTAAAATGGAATAGGCTGGAAGGAAAAGAGCTCGGTTTAAATTGTGCGAAATCTTTGCTCCTCTGCAGCAAGGAAAAATATTTGTTCAAGGTTCAAAAGGATATTAGCTTGTCTCGCTTGCAAAAAGAGCTGTTGCAGTAAGGAAGCTGTCGAAAAATCTCTTAATAAACTTAATTTTAACAGTTTAAGAGCGAAAGAACATTTTGTCTTTTGCTTTCCTTAGATGATTTTCATAATTTGGATGTAAGCTGGCTTTTTTGTCCTCAAATCACTAGAATTATCTTTTTGGGAAAAAAAACCCATCTCGATTACTGTTAAGGTACAGGTATATTAAAAAAGAAACTGCTTGTAACGTGACATATTTGTTTCAGATTTTGATGAATTTAGAATATTTTTGACAACAGAGCAGTTAAAAATAAAGAAGCGGGAAATGTGAACAGTGATCATGTTTGACTCTCATAAATCACACTTTCAAAAATGCCCTTAAAAATAAATACATAAAATCTTATTCTTCTTTTTTTTTTCTTTATGCTTCCTTTTGGTTGTAGTCAAAGGATAAGGTAATCAAAGTGACCTGGCTTTCAGATTTGTGTGGCTGCTGTGGGTCTTACTCATACTTCCCAGCAACATGCTTCTTGTTAGGTGTAGTCATTGGGTGTTGTTTTTTTTTTATCACTTAAACGAGCATGAAGAATGCCGTGACTTACAAGCTCAGAGCTTCAGCCTTGAGTCATAATATCGATATAAGCTGTGATGAATATTACAAGTCTATGTATGAATGCCCCTCCCACACTATCTTTTAAAATGTCATTTGAAATCAGTGTCCTATATTTTCTTTTGCTGTTGGGTTGTTCTTTTTTTTTCTGTGTGAAGACGAATTGTCGCCAAGGACACTAGACTGTTTACTGGAATCCTTTTTTCACACTTTGTTTTCAGTACCGCCTCTCTTACTGAATAATAATAATAATAATAATAATAATAATAATCTAGCTGCTCTCATGGATTTAACTCTAATATAATATGTACACTAATGGAATGGATCCAGCCTGAAAAGGTTGTTCTTCAATAATATTGGACTTGTCATCTCTTCTGGTATTGCACTTTTTCTCACTGTCCAACTTCCCTTCACAGCACAAATTATTTGATATGTAGAAGGCAGTGTAAAAGCAAAGTTACGTTCCAGATGTACTGAAGTTACTTTTGAAGACTTGTACGTTACACATGTACCGTAGTTACTTGTGAAGACTCGTGTCCAACCCCTATGTGACCGCCATATATCTATCTATGCCCTTGATGTGTAGCCTCCTTGTGCAAGCCAAAAAGATGCTGAGCACTCTTCCCCCCCCCTGTAGCCTCAAAAAGTGATAGGCAAAGCTGCTACCTTGCTTTGGCCTCCTCATTTGTCCTAGATGATTACAGTGGTTACTTCACCCTAGTGTTTGTTCTACCAAGATGACTTTCACCAGAACGTTTGAGTTACGTGGTCCTTTCACGGGTAATCAAGATGCGAAGAAAAGTGCAGAAATAGATTTGTGTATTGATCCCACAGCAATTTTTTGGAGACAATACTCCAATCACTTTTGTTGTCAACTTTAAAATCTTATAAGTGTTTTCGTAGTAGTAAAGGAAGTTCTGTGTACTGGCAAAAAAAATGAACCAACAAAAAAAAAAATGCACTGCCATAAATGCATTAGACTCTGCCTCTCCAAATACAGCTGTTGTGGAGTGCATGCGCATGTCTCATTTGCTGTCAGTGACACCCGTGACTATCAGTTTTGCCAGCCCTGTGAGCTTATGGTTCATGTCAGATTACTCACAGATATCTTATCTGAAGTCTGTCGCTATATCTTGCTGTTGTGATTTTTTTTTCTTTGACATTTCATCGACAACTTGTTCACTCACATACAGTGTCGTGTCTTTTTCAAAGGGTAGATCTACACGAAACTGGAAATATGGCTGTACCAGCAAACCTTTTTAGCTGTGTTCAGGTTCCTAATTTATACTAAGATGACCACTGGGTCAGTGAGAAATATTAACCTAGTACAGCCCTGTAGGTTGAATTAGGACAGACAGCACTTTTGGTATTAAAAGCATTATGCAAGATAACACATTTTTTCCCCTCTAGATTTGCACCCCGTGGAATTGGCGTTTGCTTGCAGAAGAAATGGGAACATTTGTCAGGGTTGTCGACATGTGTCTAAGAATAGCATCCAAAGTGTTGTTCTCAAAGATATAGGCGAGGGGTTTTGGAATCAAAGTGTGCTTAGCACATGAACGTATAGGGAAAACAAATGGGCTGTGAGTTTTGAAATAGGTTAGACTTTGTGCTGACTAAAGAAGAGACATAAAAAATGAGTGGAAACCCCATTCATTCCAGAATAGTTCATTGTTAAAGTTACATGAATTTTGGTATGTGGCTTTGGTCTGGCTGTTATTTTAGAAAAGAAATGATATTTTTCCTATGGGAAGCCAATGTCAGTATTTAAGGTGGTGCGTGCATTGGACTGTAGCTATGTTGAAAGAATGTGACCATCTCCATACGACTGAAATCATCATTAGCTGAATGGAGTATGAGCTTCTCATGTGATCAGTCTCTCTTCATTCGATTGCATTTTGTTTTGCTAATACTTTTCCTAGCCTAGGGATGGCGCAAAAAAATGGAAGGCGGTGAGGAAATGTAATTGATTATTATTACTCTTAGTTTGTGTTAAAATTGATGCTTCAAAGGTTTGATAAACTGAAAATATTGTTTCAATTAACTTGTAAAAATATTTGTCTCAGATTCATTCAAAGTGTTGACATATCATTCGTTTTACACATTTGAGCTTGTTACACTTTCCAAAAACTGGATTTTATGTTACTCCTTCTGTCGCCAAAAAATTAATTCATTTTTTTTCTGTTGCATGGTGGATGTTGATTTGATTCTAGTTTTTCCTCTACAGACAAGAATTTGTGGCATGTTTATGATAATGTGATCATTAGGTCTGCGATTTCTTTTTTTACATACTACTTATGTTACAATATTTTTCTAGTTGTCTTTGGTAAAGCATTTTACAATACTATTACAGATCCTAGAATTTATTTGTGAATTTTTGTTTATGAGTTGGATAAAGTAGCTTCTGTTTAGAATAAAGAGGACTGAGTTTAATAATTCTTTTTATTTCTTATTCTAAACTTGTTGGCTTACTTTTTACTCTTTTTTTAAAAACCTTTATTTTCAATTCCAAAGCAATTGGCTTGAAAAGTTTGTTGTTCCCTCAGTTTTTCTACTTTTCCAACAAGTGCATTGTTGGGTTGGATGGTGTGTGTGTGTGCTTGTGTGTGTATGTGGGTGTTGTTACAAAGCTTGTAGTACCATTATTATTGACACTGTTTGTGGTCTTCCAGATGAACTCATTTGAGCAGCTCTGCATCAACTACACCAACGAGAAGCTGCAGCAGCTGTTCAACCACACCATGTTCATCCTGGAACAAGAAGAGTACCAGCGGGAGGGCATCGAGTGGAAGTTCATTGACTTTGGCCTTGACCTTCAACCCACCATTGACCTGCTGGAGAAGGTGAGAAGACTTAACGTTTGCTCTTTGTTAATACAGGAGGTGCTTAGTTGACATAGGGTAGGCTTTAAATTTGCCCTGGTGTGACTGGAAATGATATTTTTTATAACAAATTTGTTAATAGATTTATCATGGCTAATGTACATCAACCATTTCCCATTTCCCCACTGGTGTTTTTTAAATGCAATAATGACACATGCAAGAGGTCCGCCTTTCTAAGATGATTGCTTTTCTCTTAGACAATGTCTGGTTATCTTGGACTGGTTGAACTGTATATAGTCAAAACTGTCTGAGACTGCCTCCGATTGTTGAGGAGAAAAGGGGCAGTCTTAGACGGATAGATGTCTCATACAGTACAGTGTCCTTATAATGTAAAAAAGACGTAAGGAGGTAAATAGGAAGCAATTATGTGTACATGTGATTGTCTTTTACAGGCAGGTAGTCGTTAGTGCAGGTTCGGCTGTAGTATGTTTATTGACACGGCCACTTGTATCTTTTCCCCCCTGTAGCCAATGGGCATCCTGGCCCTGCTGGATGAGGAGTGCTGGTTCCCCAAGGCCACGGACAAGACGTTTGTGGAGAAACTGCTGGCTCAGCACACCACCCACCCCAAGTTTGAGAAGCCTGACTTCAGGGCTGATGCTGACTTCAGTCTCATCCATTACGCAGACAAGGTGAGGGCTTACCTCTTACAATATCTCTTTAGTTGGAAAAGTACTCATGAGTTCAGGTGGAACTTTATGAATTTCAAAGTAAATTGATACCCAATCTTTACTCTCTGACCTCTCCCAAATTCTCATTTTAAGGAAGAAAAAAAAGTATAGAGATAATTTTTTTTTCTTTTTTCTTCGTTTTGTTTGACAAAATGGGACAGTAGTTGATTATTTGTAAGTGTCAAAGAAAGATATGGTTGTGTTTTCATTCCATTGTTTAGTACTTTGGTAGTGATCTTCCATGTCATGTTGTTCAGTACTGAATCTGGCTGTGCTTTCTTGTTCTTGGTGCAAGGAAGTTGAGGGCTTTCGCGTTTAATTAGGCTGTTTTCTCCACCTTTGGGACTTTTATCTTTCCCCATTATGTCTGTGTGTTTCACACAAACGTCCCCCCCCCCCCCCCCAGCCGAATTTCACAACTCAAAGGTATTGCCAAAGTACATGAGCATAATATGCATGTTGGTGAACGACGCACTGACAAGCATACACTACACACTCACAGACACATATATGCATGCAGGCACTCAAACACACTCTCCTACTGCCTCTTAAATTTGGGATGTCCAACCATACATTTTTATGCACACAACTATCTTTCTGATAATTTTGTCACTCTACATAAAATGACATACTCTCTGCCACAACAGATTTAACATATACATATTATGAGTTGTAGCAAATTATTTCCCTTGATCACATATTGTGATGACATAATATAATTTTGTGTTGGTGCTGAAAGGAATTTTGATAGAGAGTATGACCACAACAGGAAGTGACATCATGTCATAGAGTTAGGAGGTGCTGTGGATTGGGTTCAAGTTAGGCTAGTGTACATCAGCTGTGATTTAATTGAGCCTTAAGAAGAATTGCTTCATCATGTAGAAATGCCTCTGCTGTGTTAAGTTTAACCCATTCAGTGTGTGCATGTTTTTGAGAGGCTGTGTGTGTTGAGTTAGAACCCATTAGTTGTCATCCAGTGAATATGTCAAGTTGATTTTGCAGTTACCAGTTGCCTAGAAAGCCCAAGCTTGGTTTATTATTTAAAGCATAAAGAACGAAAAAAGTGAATAGCAGAGAAAGTGGACAATATGCCCTGTCGAGAAATGTGGTCATTCGCAACAAGTACAATATCAACCTTTATCTTTGATTCTCAAAGAATTTGCAGAGCTTCCAGTGCAAGTATTTACTGGTTATCCGCTACCTGAAAGAAGGAACTTGGAGCCATCAATATTATTTTGATTGAATTGGGTCTGGAAGTCACCGTTTTAAACAGTTCACTTCGGATTTGCTAGCTTTTGTTTTTTTTAAAATGTAGTTCCTGGGGTATCCCTGTGTGACCTCACACTGTGCAGGGTGGGAAGACCATGGGGAGGGTAAGTTCAAAGCCGTTTGCTATGGGCCATGGAGTAGCTTTGGGTATGGCGACCCTTTGGCTGAGCTGTGCACCAGTGATTTGCTCTGTGGATGAGGATCTGAACGTCCATGTAAGTGCTTTGGTTTCTCTCCCCTTTGCAACTTAACCGTTTGCTTGGGGAATATGAAAAAAAGAATTGTGTTAAAAATGAAATTTAAGACAGACTTTAAAAACTCTATACAGTTGTAGATTATCTTATAAACTTATGTAATCATGGTTATATATAAGAAAGACTATTGTGAGTAGTGACAGTGTCACGAAGGACCGTTGTCTTTCAGCAGGCAGAACCTGAAATGTGTCTCTCCACTCAATGCATTTGTGTCATGTTTTCACTTGCTTCTCCTTTCACTTTGCCCAGGTGGACTACTCAGCCGACCAGTGGCTGATGAAGAACATGGACCCTCTGAATGAGAATGTGGTCTCCATCCTGTCTGCTTCAACTGATCCTTTCGTCGTCAACATGTGGAAAGATGGTACGTGGTCATGCCATGCTTATTCCTAATTCCTAATTTAGATGGGGTTTTTTTTTTTTAAATGCCGTCTTCTTCCTGTCTGTCTACTGCTCAGGGAAAGCTGTTTCATGCATACTTACTTCTTTAAAATCTTCTTTCAAGATGTAAATAGGCCAACACACAATACTTTACGAATGCAGTATACCTTTGTAAGCATGATAGATACAGTATCGAGTGTTTGAATTATTCCAGTCAGTTTTCTTCTTCCAATACTTTATGGGATTGCCTAGGTCCACTCTGCAGCAGTGGGGGTTTTTTAAATCATGCACTGTATTTGTCAGTTGTTTGGTTTTTCAGTCAACTTTATTAGGGTAGCATTTTTTGTTGTCTAAAGTGGTTGGAGTATACGACTTACTCTGCATCCAGCTTCCTACCTGTGTGCCGCGAATTTTGTGTCTGAGTTTTTACTCTTATTTTTGTTGACTGTGAAGGATAATTATTTTTGTTTGTTTTTTAAGCAAAAGACGAGCGTTTGCTCTTTGCTTTTTCTACCGAGCAACTGGTTTCCAGCTAAATTGTGGTTAGCGGATGCTCTGGCGTGGTTTGCTCCTTCTTTTCCTATCAAATATATATCCGTTCTTATCTCCCCTCCTTGCGGAGGGTTGGAGGGTGCCACTGTCACTGGCATGTCCAACTTCTTTACTTTCCTTCTGTTGTTTCTGTCTGTCTTATTTTTTCCCAGCACCAAATGACCATAATTGTGTCAGATGTGTTTCTCTTTACTCAAACAAACAAACAAACAAACAAACAAACAAACAAACATCTCTCCTCCTTCTTTTCTTTGTATGCTAGTCTTTAGTACTACCTCTTATTTTGGGCACTTTTATGACCTATTTGTGTTGCTAATGGCATGCTATTCTAACAAAAACCAAACTCCTTTGGTGCAGCTGACATTGTGGGCATGGGAGCAGCAGCAGCTGTGGACACCATGTTTGGCTCCAGGACCCGCAAGGGCATGTTCCGCACGGTGAGCCAGCTGTACAAGGAGCAACTGGCCAAGCTCATGATGACGCTGCGCAACACTAACCCCAACTTTGTGCGTTGCATTATCCCCAATCACGAGAAGAAGGTGGGTACTGGTGGTGTGTTATTGTTGTCTTGTTTGACCCGCGAAACTATGGGGAGGAGTCCTCTCTAAAGTATATTTTTCTTGAAGAGACCAAAAGTGTATGAATTATTTCAGTGGAGTCCACTTATATCAAAATCTACAGCTTCATCATTAAACTGTATTTTCGGTTGAGAGAGATTGTTCAAACAGCTAATAAGAAAATAGAGGATTCTATTTTCCTTCCTTGACGTTACATTCGTAGGTGCAGTGTCTGTTACACTAGCTCAGTTGGCACTGAGTGTGGATAAAAGCTTTTTGGGGATGCAAGTTGTGCTGAAATGGGGGAATGGACATAGCCGATTTAGATATAGAGTGAGGTTCTGATTTTGATTTTCTTTGGCTTATGGCTATAATATATTGTACTACATATACTTGTTTAGGCTTCCGCTGTTTGCTCACATGTTTTCTCTTTTCTCTCCCAGGCTGGAAAGATTGAGTCCACTCTGGTTTTGGACCAACTGAGATGCAATGGTGTTTTGGAGGGGATTAGGATTTGCCGCCAAGGCTTTCCCAACAGAATTTTGTTCCAAGAGTTCCGTCAGCGCTATGAGATCCTCACGCCCGCTGCCATTCCCAGAGGCTTTATGGATGGGAAGAAGGCCGTTGAGAAGATGGTAAGCTATTGGTCGCCTAACAGATGTATGTAAATGAGATTATGCGTGTTCAGAACTCTGGATTTCTGAAATCCTGATTTTGGCTTACAATTTGTTTTTATTTGTGTGTGTGCATTCAGTATTGCACTTTATACAATAATAGTCTTGATACAAGATGTTTTAGATTTGATCAGTAAATTTTGATTCTCTGCATGCCTGTTTCCATGGGGGTCTGATAAGTTCAGGGGTTTTTTTTCAGAGCTAGTCTGCACTTATGAGTATCAGAAACATCTTCTTTAATTTGGGATGTATTAAGCTGTTTGTATTGTTTTCGTATTTATTGGTATGTGAGGGTAAGTGTTTAGAGGTAACATCTAATCGTTTTCGTTCTCAGATATCTGTGTTAGAGCTGGACTCGAACCTGTTCCGCATCGGGCAGAGCAAGATCTTTTTCCGCGCTGGCGTGCTGGCTCATCTAGAGGAAGAAAGAGACTTGAAATTGACAGACATCATTGTGCAGTTCCAAGCCCTGGCAAGGGGTCTGCTGGCCAGAAGGTAAAATGTCTGAGAGGGTTGAGGTTTTGGGTTTGATAAAGATCAGTATGCTAAGATGCCCTTGGCATAGCTCATCATTTTTTTCCACGTTTTAAGCTTTGTGCGTAGCAAGCTCAATTGGATGTCTCAAACGTAGATATCTGATGTCGGGACATGTTTGATGAAAAGGTTATGCAAGACTTTCTCAAGGCAAAATATTATGTCGGGGTTGCAAATACTTTTATGACATTTATTGTAGACAAGATAACGACTTGAAACAAAAAGCAAGATGCTCAGAATTGGCAGATTACTAACGAGTCCTAATACATCGCTCACATGGGACAGTAAATGAAAGTCATAATGGTCTATAAGCTGTAGTTATTACTCTTTTTTTTTTGGTGATAAGTTTTTGCTTTGAAGGAATAAGCAGATTCTTAATAAAAATAGAGAAAGTTCCCAAATTTTCAATATTTATAACTACAGCTGATGTGGATTCAGCATTGTGTGTATTCACATTTGCTTCTATATAGTTAATAATTTTCCTCTTCCCTTATCACAAAGTTTTTTAATCTTCTCTGCAGAAATTACCAGAAGAGGCTGCAACAGATCAATGCTATTCGCGTGATCCAAAGAAACTGTGCGGCTTACTTGAAACTCAGAAACTGGCAATGGTGGCGCTTGTTCACTAAGGTAATTTATAAAGAAAGGACTATCTTTCAGTTTGATGGTAGAATAATAATTTACTGAAAAACAATCAAGCTTAAACACTGTGTTGAAGTAATTATCAATTTGGTGCTATATTAATTTTTTAAAACCCAGTCGCTTAAATAATATCAAAGTAAAATAAGTGTTTTTATATAAGTTTAAGGTATGAGAGGAGAGTATACTCTGATGTATATATTTATGAAAGATCCCAAAAAAGTATAAATTGTTACATATAAATTGTGTATATTTTATGGAATTAAGCAGTAATATTCTGCGAATGAGAATTTATGTTTTTCTATTAGCGTCTTGTAATGTTAGAAAAGCTAGCAAAAAAAGTTTGGAGAAGACCCAACTCAAAGTCGTTTGTTTCCCTGCTCTCCCTCAGGTGAAGCCGCTGCTGTCTGTGACTGGGCAAGAGGAGAAGCTGCACACCAAGGAGGAGGAGCTGAAGAAGGTGAAGGACAGCTTTGACAAGCAGAAGCAGGAAACAGAGGAGATGGAGCGACGCTACGCTCAGATCATCGAGGAGAAGAACATCCTGGCGGAGCAGCTGCAGGCAGAGACTGAGCTCTGTGCTGAGGCTGAGGAGGTGGGTTGAGAGTCGACAGTGTGATAGTATGCCTGTTGTTTAATACCACCCACAGTCTCCTGCATAGTTTGCCATTGGTCTGCGAGCGAAGATTGGCCTGGTCAATGGAACTAAATACACTGTGCGTTTTACCTTATTGGAAGGACATGATTTACTGAAGCATCAAATTGATGCATTTTGGTTTTCTTTTCCTGTACCATTCAAATTGGTATATCATAATTTTAAAATGAGATGTCCGGAGATTCACTTTGTTGTATCATTGTTTCAATTTTTTCTGACGTTACATTTCTATTTCCGATTCTGTCTCCAGTCGAGAGCACGGCTGAACAAACGGAAGGAAGAGCTGGAGGATATTTTGCATGAACTGGAGATGAGGATAGAAGAGGAAGAAGATCTGAACAATAAGTTTATGGATGAAAAGAAGATGTTCACTCAAAACATTAAAGACCTTGAGGAACAGTAAGTTGTTATGAAATTAAGGCTTCAGAGTCAGTGGCTGGATGCAAGACTTTGAAAAGCGCCATTATGCAATTTTTGTGTTTGTCAGAATTTTGCACCCAGTCATCATCATGTAAGTTAAAGATTAGCATGGGAAATTTTGATTGAAAATGTATTTAATAAACTAAGTTTCCTTGATCTTCATCTGTGCCAATGGATTTTTTGGGGTCTTTTTTATTGTAACGATGCAGAGTGCCGTTGTATCTCATTCCATAAAGCTTTTTAGTTTGTATAAGAATAACATGTTGCATATATTGCATAATTGTTGAGACTGTGTCCTCACTTGAACAAAAGGGACAAGAAACACAATTCATGAAACTAACAAAAATTGTAATTTTGCAGATTGTTTTGGATGCTGAGCTATGATATGCTACTTGCACTTCTTTTCCTTTTTAAATGTGGCCACAATGCCATCTCTGTGTGAAACTGAAACATGACTTTACCACATTGTATCACCTCTAGGCTAGAGGAGGAAGAGCAGACACGCCAAAAACTGCAGCTGGAGAAAGTGACGGCTGAGGGCAAGATGAAGAAGCTGGAGGAAGCTGCAGCCATTTTGGAGGACTCCAACCAGAAGCTGGTCAAGGAGAAGAAGCTGATGGAAGAACGGCTGGGCGAGGCACAGCTCAACATGGCGGAGGAGGAGGAGAAGTCCAAGCAGCTGGGCAAGTTGAAGAATAAGTACGAGGCCATCATCGCTGACTTGGAGGAGAGACTGAGGAAAGAACAGCAGGTACACACTGGGGAGGCTCACTTTTGATATGTACAGTATGTTATGTTCTGACAAAAAGTCTGTAGATACATTTGGGTCAGTGCTTGCGATATAACCCACTTGTGAGCAGTTTGGTCATTTTGGTGGTTGGTAGGGATCACCGCGGCAGTGACAAGTATTATATGATGTCTTGGAAGTACATCAAGAAGGGTGGTATGGACATTTTAAGCCTCTTAACACTTTGCCATCACAAGACTCCTATAGTAAAAGCCCTTGCCGTCTAAGGCAAAAGTATTTTGGGGAAAATCCAAAGAAACTGGGAGGTAAACATCACCGATGGGCGAGATGTGGCCGCAAAGTGTTAAGGTGTCTAAAAAGGCTTTGGCAATGAAAAAGGTGACAAGCACCTGCTATAGGTGTTTGTTCTTGTGTTTCGTGGATAGGAGCTCGGAAAGAGGAATAGAGATTGTTTATAATTTCTCCTACGTTTTTTGGGTGTGATTGTGTTTGTGAGGGTGTGTTTGATTCAGTGTAAGCCGTTTTTTTTTTCTGAAGGGTTTCTTGTCTCGTTGCTTTTGCATATTTGGGTCCTTTTACTCACTCAATTCAGTCAAATGATGTGCACAACACTATCCATTTATGTTACAAATACCTCAAAGAGTTTTAACATAATTTGAATATATCTTTTTTTACTCCCAGGCCCGTCAAGAGCTTGAAAAGATTCGTAGGAGGCTAGAGACAGAGCTGACAGATCTGAGGGACCAGTTGAATGAAAAACGACAGCAAGTTGAAGACCTTCAGGCTCAGTTAGCTAAACGTGAAGAGGAAGTCCAGTCTGCTTTGCGGAAGTAAGTTGCATTGTTCCAGCTGTGACATGTTAATATTTTAAATATTTATGTGTGTATGCCCGCACTATAGATGTGAAGAAACTTTTTTGCAGTTATTTAATGTTTTATTGAACCTACATTTACATGTAAAGCATTGACAAAGGAAGTTAAATTTCTGTGAGGATGATTGAAACAATGGACAGCTTTGCTCACTTCTCAAAATCTGACTTTAATTAGATTCTCAGTTGTATTTAGCCATTTGAGACTGGGATTTTTATTTGTCCTTCTTTTGAAACTACTAGACTTTGTTCACAGCGGGCATCAGTCTTGGAACTCTGCATTGCATCTGATAGTGTGTGTATTTGACTGATGTTTTGCCCATATGTAGTATTAAAGTTTTGTGGATATTTTATGTTTGGCACCCAATCACTTTCCTCAGGGCTGATGATGAAGAAGTGTCCAAATCATCCTTCCAGAAACAGATGAGAGAAGTAACAAACCAACTCCAGGAAGTCATGGATGATTTAGAGACGGAGAAAGAGGCTCGCAATAAAGCCGAAAAACAGAAGAGAGATCTCAATGAGGTATAGTTCATTTTTTATTTTCTTTTTTTCCCCCTTTGTTTCCCCCATCCTTATTTACTTTTGTCCTCTAACTGTATTCTGTCGTCTGCTTTCGTCTCTGTGGTTTCCCCCCAACTATTCCCTGATTGCATGTTTGTTTTTTCTCTACACTAAATGAGGTAGGTAGTTGGCGGGTGCTCTGGTGTGATTTACTTCTTCTTTCATATCAAACATCTATCGCCCTTATCGCTCCTCTCCCCTCCTTTTTTTTTGGTGTTTGTTACTCTCTTGTAACACTTCTAATCATCGGCACTTTTATAACCTTATTGTGTTGCAAGGGCTGTAAAACATTTATTAAAAAACTAAACTAAAACTAAACACTAAATGAGTGGGTGGTTGGCAGATGCTTTGGTCTGGTTTGCTCCTTCTTTCCTATCAAGTATCTATTGTCCTTATCTCTCCCTCTTTTTTGTTTGTTACTCTCTTGTAGCCTCTCAAATCTTCGGCACCTACATGACCTTATTGTGTTGAAATGCCGTAAAACACTTATTAAAACAAAAACAAAACATTTTGTTTGTGTGTTACTTTCTAGTAATACCTCTAATCCTCAGTGTTTAAAATGACCTAATTATATGGCAAGTGCGGTAAAACTCTTACTAAATCGGAAAATTTTTAAAAAATGAAAATATAAAACTAAATGACAATTATTCTCCAACTCATCCATTTTGTCCATGTGTCGTTCAGGAGCTGGAGGCCCTGCGTGGTGAGCTGGAGGATTCACTGGACACAACGGCGGCCGTGCAGGAGCTGCGGAACAAGAGAGAGCATGAGGTGCAGGAGCTCAAGCGTATGGTGGAGAGCGCCCAGAAGGCCCACGAGGAGGGCGTGCAGGAGACCAAGCAGAAGTACAACCAGCAGGTGGAGCAAGTCAGCGAGGAGCTGGAGAATGTCAAGAAGGTGAGGAGAACTGCTGATTTTTATGGAGAAATCTGGAATTTAGAGAAATCCAGAAATGTGGAGTTCTTAAATTGTCCAGATTTTGCAATGTGATCCTTTTTATACATTTATTTGCATCTTTGTACATGTCATATTGCACTTATGTAAAACTAGTTTTGATACAAAATATATTAGATAATGTGATCCGTAAATTTTTTTTGTTCCCATGTTGGCTTTTCCTTCTTGTATTTAGCTTTGTTCTCTGAATTGTTCCTAGCCTTATGTTTGTCAATATTTTTTCAATTAGTGAACTTCATTGTTAAAGCTCTTAATTTAAAGACAAGTATGAGAATTTTTCCTCCTGCAAATTCAGAAAGAACAAAAGAGAGGAAAAGTAATGGTTAGAAGTTCACGGGAACATACCAAAACATGCCCACATAGGGATGCACATTTACAGTATTGAAAGGTGAGCCCATTCTTGAATGTGATTTTTAAAACTCAACTCATTTTGTCTTTTGTAACGTGCCATACAGACCAAAGCAAGTTTGGAGAAGGCCAAGGCGACGTTGGAAGCTGAGACCACAGACCTCGCTAACGACCTCAAAAGTGTTCAGATGGCCAAGCAGGAGTCTGAGCGTAAGCGCAAACAGGCAGAGAGTCAGGTGGCGGAAATGAGTCTCAAGCTGGCAGAGCTGGAGCGCACCGCCGGAGACTCAGGGGAAAAGTCCAAAAAATTGCAGGTAATAATGATGTCGAAATAATAATAATAATAATGATAATAATAAATAGCATTTCTATAGCACAAGTTCCCGCTCTTCAGCAAGTTTTATTATAACCCTAGTAGGCTGGATATATTCTGAAACAATGTCAACTTTGTGGGAAACATACAGTGTAGGTGTAGCGATGAAAATTGTGTGCTGCTTTATTTTTTCCATTGTGGTGAAATGGCAGTAAAATTTCATGAATTTAAAAGTTCTTAAGTGAGTTTCTGTGCCTGCTTGGATGCTTTATCTCACTCTGCCCGCGTTGGCAGTGGCCGGCTGGATCAAAGCAGCTTGCGTCTTGTGTGATCTAAATTGTGTGGATTTGAGCAGGGATGTAAAACACTTACTATGTGGGTGGTTGGCGGGTGCGCTGGTGTGGTTTGCTCCTTCTTTCTTATCAAACAACTATCGTCCATATATCTCCTCTTTTTTTGTGTTTGTTACTCTCTTGTAACACCTCTAAATCTTCGGCACTTATATGACCTTATTGTTTTGCAAGCACTGGAAAAGTTTTGCTTAAACTATACTAAACCACTGACTGGGTGGTTGGCGGGTGCTGTGGTGTGGTCTGCTCCTTCTTTCATATCAAACATCTATTGTCCTTATCTCCCCTTCTTCTTTTTTATGTTTGTTACTCTCTGGTAACACCTCTAATCCTATGGCACTCATATGACCTTATATAGTTTCAAGCGCCATAAAACCTACAAAAACTAAAAAAACACTTAGTGTAACAATAACCAGTGGCTTTGTTTGTGATGTCCAGGTGGAGGTGGAGCAGGTGGCCTCCCAGCTGGAGGCGGCAGAGACCAAGGCTCTACAAGGTCAACAGAAGGCCTCGTCTTTGGAGGCTCAGCTGGCAGATGTACAGGTACGCTCTTGGGTGGACAGCTCTCTTTTCCTTTGTATAGAACCATACAAAGTGGGTGGTTGAGGAGGGGTGCTCTGGTGTGGTTTTCTCCTTTTTTCCTATCAAACGTCTATCATCCTCATCTCTCATTCTTTTCTATGTCTGTTACTTGCTTGTAACACGTTTAATCTTTTGCACTTGTATGACCTAATTCTGCTGCAAGCGCCGTAAAACTCTTACTTAAACAACAAACAAATATATGTTTACTTTGCTCAAAGCAATCTTGCAGTAATGTGTGTATGTCTCTTTACTCAAAACAATCTTGCAGTAAGGTGTGTATGTCTTTTTATACAAAAGAAGCTTGCAGTAATGTGTGTATGTTTTCTCTGTACTCAAAACTATCTCGCAGTAACGTGTGTATGTTTTCTCTGTACTCAAAACTATCTCGCAGTAATGTGTGTATGTTTTCTCTGTACTCAAAACCATCTCGCAGTAACGTGTGTATGTTTTCTCTGTACTCAAAACTATCTCGCAGTAATGTGTGTATGTTTTCTCTGTACTCAAAACCATCTTGCAGTAACGTGTGTATGTGTTTTTCCCAAAAGAAGCTTGCAGTAACATGTGTATGTTTTTTGTCCAGGATACTCTACAAGAAGAGACCCGCCAGAAACTGGCACTGCAGTCCAAGCTCCGTGCCGCTCAGGATGACAAAGAGAGGTTGGAGGAAAGGGTAGAGGAGGAGGAAGAAAACAAGCGACAGTATGAGAAACAGATGCAAGAAATCAGCCAGAAGGTATGTTTATGTTTACCTTAGAAGTAGAAGTATTCACATGCTGTTTATCCTAAAACTATAAGTGTCAATGTATGAACAGAGACACAGAGATTTGCTTATCATTGATGAAGTGTCTTTCTGTGAAGTTGCTATCTCTTGGTTTCAATAATAAGTTTATATATTTCAACAAGAAGTAGATATAGATACCAGTATTAACTTCAGAATGACGAGAACGAACTGTGGACTTTCACTAGTCTAAGTTACATTTTTATAAAAATATGTTGCTTTCTCTGGGTTTCTACAGCTTCACTTATAACAGTTTTATGATAGCTTGCTGTGCCTACTGTCAACAAACCGTTTCTCGACAGACACACAATTACATGATAGTTTTTTAGAAGTGAAAACTTTGGAGATATAAAGTAATGTGTATAGGGAAATACCAGCTGATTTCTTCATGATGTGATAAATGAATGCTTATTTCTAAATGAACAGGTCTTGTATTGTTGTATATAATGCTACTACTAAGAAAATAAGTCAGTTCTGATGTGTATATCCTACTTCTAAAATAATGTCTGTTTTGATGTGTGTATCCAATTTCCTAGTTAATAGTCAGTTTTGATAGGTATATCTACTTCTAAGATAAGTTATGTGTTAATGTCTGAATGCTACTTGTAAGTCAATAAGTCTGTTTTGTTGTGAATATCCGACTTCTCAGTTATTAAGTGTGTTTTGATATGCTCATGTGCAGCTGATTGAAGTGAAGAAGAAGGCTGACGAAGACATGGCCAACAACGAGGCCCTGGAGGAGTACAAGAAGAAAGTGGCACGAGAGATGGAGCAGCTACAGCAGCAACTGGAGGAGTCGCGCATACAGAGCGACAGGCTGGAGAAGTCCAAGCGCAAACTGCAGGCTGAGGTAGGAACCCACACTAATAATAATATGATCATAATAATAATCATAATATAAAATAATCATCATAATAATCATAATTTTTTTAAGATGCAGATGATTTCTATAGCTCCTGCTCCCATATAATACAGCTGTTTTGACTACTTTTTTTCTACTCACTACCTTCTTGATGTGCATTTTCTTTTCTTAAACTGAACTAAACTAAGAATGATTATATGCGTAAAGAATTGTGAAACTGAAATTATAGGTTACTTCAGTTATCTCCAAATTTTTTTCCTCTTGCAAGACGCAATTAAGTTTTTCTGTCTGTGTCTTGTTTTGGTTAATTTTACCACAACAAAAACAGTTTCGCATATTTTACAATGTTTCCGTTTGAAGGGAGGAATGACAAATTTGTTGTTGACATCTCGCTCACTATGTGTTTTTGTGCCTTTGTGTGCAGGTGGATGACATGACAGTAGAGCTGGAGTCTCAGCGGTCTAATGTCTCCAACATGGACAAGAAACAGCGCAAGTTTGACCAGATGCTGGCCGAGGAGAAATCTGTTTCTGAGAGGTAATTGAAATATAATTGAAAAGCGAGCAGCGGTTTTCTTTCTTGATAACTGACACGCGATATGGTATTCTAGTCGTATTTTTAAAACATTGTTTTAGTTGAATGTGCCCCCCACCCCCTTAACTCACTAACTACTGGCCCCTTTCACCAGTCACTAGCGCTGAGTACTGGCATTTTTGGGATATCTCAAAACACCACCACAACTCTCAGAATTACTTTATTGTAATTATTTTTTGACACAGTAAAGTTACTTTCAAATTTCTTGCAAAAAATGTAAGTTGTCTAGGTCTAATACTTTTATTCTTATGATTGTTTCAAAATTGGCATGAATTTGATTTTTTGAAAAATTTCCAGAGACATGACAGATAGAATGAAATTCACAACAACAAAAATAAAAGTTCAAAGTGTTCTGTTTTGATTTGTGTCCATGTGTGAGTGTTTGGTGAAAATATAATAGCTGGTCTATGCATTTATTCAGACCCATACACTGAATAACGTGAGACAGATGTAAGGAACGAAGTTGTGATTTCGACGCGCGAACGACAACACCAGTATTAGTGCTAGATCTAGCCTTAAAACTGCGACTCGGGCGTGTTCGGTTACATATCCAGGGTCCTAACTATCAGATACATCATATCCTGAGTCTCTAGAACTAGCAAAACAAACAAGTATCGAAAACAGCTTAATTATGTGATTCTTGTTCATGCGACCGTTACTTCAACGCGACTGTCAGATTACTATCAGCTGTATAGAAAAAACATAGTGCGAGTTCCAGTCAGGTCAACCCCAGATGAGGTGACTGTCCTTCACCTTCAATTGCTTAAAAAGTTACCACGAAACTTTCGCCAAACTGGGCACGAAAAAAACAAGTGGCAAAACTGACACTGGAATCCGTTCCTGTACATGTGACGGGAGCACAAGATACGGAACAAAATCGCAAAGTCCACCCCATCGGGGGTACGGGATCCATACCTGTGAACCGGCCGCCTTCCCCGTACCTGTGACGGGAACCGTAGTCAGTGAGTTAAAAAAACCCTCAAACTAACAAAAAGTAACAGGAAAGCGAAAAATGATTTGTGCAAGAGGGTGATTTGGGTAGAAGTGGAAGAATGTTCAGCAAAGACTGTATATTTCATGATGACTTCACTTGCAGAATGAGAGGAGACCAGTTTTACTTTTATTGTAGAAAAACAATTATTGATGATATTTCTAATGTGTTATGACAATGGTCTTTATCATTTGTCATAGTTTTGAGAAAACAAGAAAAAAAACTTCTTGTAGTCTAATAGGCACATAGCGAACAGATTTTCAGGTTCTGAGTTTTTCCTCTACATGTATGTTCTTTCTATTTAGGACTCAAGCATAGCGAAAAGACTTGTGAGTCCCACCGATTTCTGCAATGTGTGTGCTAAACAGTTGTTCCATTTCTATACCTGAAACTTTACCAGGTAATTGTTGTACCCACTTGTATACCACCCTCACCCCTCATGTCAACTTGTGTGTTGCAGACTTGGACTGGAGCGCGACACAGCTGAGAAGGAAAGCAGGGAAAAGGAGACGAAGATCCTGAATCTGCAGCGTCTGTTGGACGAGCTTCAGGAGCGGGCAGACCAGCTGGACAGAGCCAAACAGCAACAGGCCCGCGAGCTGGAGGACCTCATCTCATCCAAGGACGACGTGGGCAAAAATGTACGAAATTCTTCCTCGTCTCTTGTTTTCCCATATTGTTGGCAAGTTGTTTAATTAAATGTACTAAGCTCAAAACACAAACTTTCAGGAGAGAGGAAAAAACTTGTTTCGTTCTTATAACAATTATAAGGGTTCCTTCACCAAGATTAATGGGTTGACCAGCTAAAACTGCTAATGTATAAATGAATGACAACTGTTCCCTAGTAGAGGTCCAAGATGATGAATTGAGTTTTTAGCTTGTGCATTCCTTGGACAGATGGGTGATCGGAAAAGATCAGGGTGGCAGTTGGGTTGTTTTTTTTAGAGCATCTGTAAAGAGAAATGAGTGACCTATAGGCTCTGATGTGGTTATCTCCTTCTTTCCCATCAAACGTCTATCATCCTTGTCTCTTCCCCTTTCCCTTGTATGTTACTGTTTAGAAAAACCTCTAATCTTTGGTATACATACAACGTATTTGCGTTTCAATTGCTGTAAAAACTCATTGAAACTAAACTAAAAACTTGTATCCACCAGGTTCACGACTTGGAGAAGTCGAAGCGTTCCCTGGATGCCACGGTGGCGGAGCAACGCCAGCAGATTGAGGACCTGGAGGACGAGCTCCAGGCAGCGGAGGACGCCAAGCTGAGGCTGGAGGTGAACATGCAGGCCCTGAGGGCTCAGTTCGAGCGGGACGCCGCAGGCCGGGAGGACCAGGAAGAGGAGGCTCGCAAGTCCTTGTTGAAACAGGTATGTCATCAACCCCCTTAACACTTTTAGTGCCGTTGGTGACTTTTGGCACTAGACCCACAGTATGCACTCATTACCCTCTATGTACAAGATACTAGTAGGACTCTGATGTGGGTCATCTAATGCTGCTTTTCTTCTTTTTTTTTCTTCAGTGTTGCCATCGCAGTAATCTGTCCCTGACAGAATATTACTGTAATTTAGCTGACTCTCTCTCTCTCTCTCTCTCTCTCTCTCTCTCTCTCTCTCTCTCTCTCTCTCTCTCTCTCTCTCCCTCCCTCCCTCCCTCCCTCCCTCCCTCCCTCCCCCCTTCCCCCCCCTCTCCCTCTCTCTCTCTCTCCCTCTCTCTCTCTCTCCCTCTCACACACACATACACGCACACTGAAAGAGAGAAGGTGGTTGGAGGGTGCCACCAGCAAATCAACTTATTTTCTTTTTGTCTGTTGTTTCTTTTTGCTGTTTGTGTTGCCAGTGCTGTAAAACTCTTACTAAGAAGAACTGCTGTGTTTTTTCCCTGTACTAAATGACCATTTTGGTGTCAGTAATGTGCTTCTCATTCCTCAAAAAAGACTGGTAATCTGTCCCTGACAGAATGTGACTTACTGTACAGACTGCAAACAAGTCAACTCTACCAATCAACATCTCTCCCTCCTCCTTTTTCTCCTCCTCGTGGGTGATTGGCGGGTGCTCTGATGTAGCTTGCACCTTCTTTACTATCATACATCTGTTGTCCGTATCTCCTCCTATTCTTTGTATATTACTCTCTAATCTGTGGCACTGTTATGACCATATTGCAAGTGTCGTAAAACTTTTACAATGGGTGATTGCTCTGGTGTGGTTTGATCCTTCTCTCCTCTCTTCCTTCTTTTTTATGTTTGTTATTGCTGCTCTCTTGTAACACTTCTACTCTTCAACACTTTAATGACTTAATTGTGTTGCAAATGCCTTAAAACACTCACTGAAAAACAAAACTCTTACTAAACCTAAACTATCAATCATAACCTGTTCTTTTTTTCCCTCTCTCTCCTCCTGCAGTTGCGCGAGATGGAAGCAGAGCTTGAGGATGAGCGCAAGCAAAAGGCTATCGCGGTCAATGCTCGCAACAAACTGCAGGGAGACTTGTCTGGTCTTGAACAGCAGGTGGAGATGGCCAATAAGGTCAAAGATGATGCCGTCAAGCAGTACAAGAGGCTGGCTGCGCAGCTCAAAGACTTCCAGAGAGAACTTGATGACTCTAGAATCTCAAGAGAGGAGATGGCTGGAGCCATGAAAGACAATGAGAAGAAGGTATGTGGCAAATGGGTTTAGTTTTTGGTTGGGATGTGGGTTGTTATTTTGGTTGATGACTAGAGAATCTCAAAAGAGGAGATAGGTGGAGCCATGAAAGACAATGAGAAGAAGGTACATGGCAAATGTGTTTAGTTCTTAGTTGGGAGGTAGGGTGTTCTTTTGGTTGATGACTAGAGAATCTCAAGATCTCAAGTTATTAATTGAAAAGTCTCAAGTTCCCTTGTCATGGGTCCCACGTGGACTCTTTTGCTTTGATTTTTTTCAATGCTTCAGAAGCTGATATGAACACTTGTGGATTGACGCTGATGAAATGGGGTTTTTTGAGTTTGTTGTTGGTGGGAGGTAGGCTGTCCATTTGGTTGTAATGTTATAGAATTCTGGACTAGCATACAGGGTTCACTCAAACTGACTGTCTGAGGTAACATTGGGGTAAAACAGCGTAAGATAAGTCTGACACTTCTGTGCTGCTAGGGAATCACTGGTAGGTAATGTATTTGAATGAAAAGTACCATAGAGATAAGAGAAGATGCTTCCTTTGAAAGGACCTATTCTGTGGATAATATTACATTGCTTTTGTGTTATACATCTGTGCGAGTCAGTTCTCAACTCTTATTGTTTACTCTGAGAGTCCCTGTGCATGGGCACCTCTGGATACTATATTATAATGCTTTTCAATGTGTGTAGTGTGAAATCTCATGTGGTGTATAATCTATGCCCGTACACAGGTGAAGAACCTGGAGGCTGAACTGCTCAGACTGCAAGAAGAGCTGGCCTCAGCCGAGCGTGCTAAGAGGAACGCAGAGTCTGAGAGAGATGAAATGGCGGACGAGATTGGCAGCAGCAGCAGCAGCAAGTGAGTGTTGGTCTTTATTGGGGGAATAAAGAATATGAGACCATACTTATTGAACATGTCTCTTCTCTGGAGCATATCAAGGAAATAAAAATCTGAAAGGAGGAATGTAGATAAGAGCGATCTGTTTCCTCATACTGCTTTAGTCATCACCGGTATCAATGGACAACTGACAGCTGAAAAAGAATGTGCAAAATTAATGTCTAATGAAGCTTGACCAGAATGGAGTTGATAGTTACATGTTTACAAAGCAGGATGATAGCAGTAGAGGTAGACATTTTTTTAAATGTCAAGAGAAAAAATGCTTTCATGAAAGGGACCAAAGTAAAACTGTTGAGGCTACATTGTGCTAATGATTGTTTAAAAGATATTTCAAAAGATACACTTCCCAGGATGGGGGTTTTGGTTTTTGTAGTTTTGTTTTAGGGAAGAGAAAAATAAGAAATAAGGGTTCTATTTTAACAGAAAGAAAAGTAAAAGGATGTTGAATAATCTTACATTTTGGGGTCTCATGAATCATTGTGCTGATACTCGGTTAACTCAGTGAAGTTACAGGAAAATGTTATGTCTGGTGAACTCAAGCCATGAACTGTTATTTTCAGTGTTTAGTTGACATCAATTGGCAGACATTTTCATTTGCAGGTGAACTTTAACAGCTGAAATATTCAACCATTTCAGTTCCAATATAAATGAAAAGGTCTGTCAATTCATATTCTAAATTGATGGTTGGTGGGTGTCACTGGTATGTCCAATCTTCTTTTCTTTCATTCTCCTTTTCTTGCTTTTTTCTTTGCACTGGATGGCAGTCGTGTTAATGCACTTCTTTAAAAAAAAAACCCAACAATCTAACATATACCATTCCTTTCAGTGTAAATTCAATACCATGTCATCATCTGTCATTTTCAGGCAAGCCTTGCTTGATGAGAAACGTCGCCTGGAAGCCAGAATTTCTGAGCTGGAAGATGAATTGGAGGATGAACATACAAACACAGAGCTTATGAATGACAAAGCCCGCAAGGCACAACTGCAGGTGGGTACATAAAGTGAAAGGTTCTGTCATATCGACTTGCTCATTACTTTTGACTAGTCAGTTATGTGTGCATTTCTACCATCTTATGACAGAAAAACATATACTCCAAAAATGAAATTTTACGTAAGAGGCAAAAAAAGCCTAACTTTTTGTGTTTGTTTCAACTTAACTAAAATTTGGTCCATGTGATAATTTTATGTCAATATCCATTGGCTGATATAACTTTTGTCTGGTTGGGTGAGGTATACAGTAAATAGTTATAGAGTAACTGATTAAAATTTCTTTTGTCATTACAATACTGATATGTAATGAGGTCACAACGCATATTTTCAAAAGCCGAAAACTTCCTTAATACATTACACCCTAAGGGCCTGGACGGGAAGTCCATTATCAGATCCTAAGCAAGGGGAAAGAACCCACCTCCCGTGAATACTAGCCTTTAAAAAACACATTTTAAAAATACTAAACAAATTCCAAAAATCCTGAAAAAATAAAAGTTAAAAAGAAAACTGAATGTAGTTTCAGAAAAATATAACTTTATGTATGCGCAAACTGTTGGAAATGTTTTAACTTTAATTCAAACGGCGTGTCCGACCCGTCACTCTCACTCTCAGCCTCGCGGTCGGGCCCTAGATCTAAATTCTAGATTTTCTCCGTCTGATCAATTTGAATCGCCCCAAACTCTTCCTACAACGTTTTCATCAAAATCTGAGCCATCTGATTTGTCACATGTTCGTTTTTGCTCAAATCCATCGTTATTTCCGTTTTCGAACTCGATTGTGTCGCTTTTCAACAAGTCGAGACACTTTCAAAGTGTCGGTAACGCGATCGCACTTCGATCAGCTCTAATACTAAAACTACTAGCCCGAAAAATTTCTTTTCGGTATCAAACGAAAGAATAAACTTTTTGCTATACTATGCAAATCAAAATCCCGGCCCCAGAGTCTCGTCAAGGCGAGACTTTCGTTTCTAAAGACGCTGGGCCGGCGCGGGCGAGTCAGGGTGGAGCGCGTAAGGGAATTCCCGGGCGAGTTAGGGTGTAATGTGTTAATTTATAAAACCAAGATAGAAAGACGAACCATGATTCTCCCCTGTATAAAAACGCTACTTGACCTAATTAAGCATACACGTTTTTTGTCAGAAGACGCCAGATCTAAAGGGTTTCTTTGATTATACAACGGAGTAATGTTTTTTATTGGAAATTAAATTTTCTGCGTGAAGTAAAAGAAGTGCTATACCTGCATAGTGTCAACAAACCTCGGACTTGGTTCAACTGTTCTACTTTGGGCCTTTTGCACAAATGTCTATACAATTTTCTCTTGGGTGTTTTTATTTTCCAGGCAGAGCAGATGGCCGCAGAGCTGGCCTCTGAACGCTCCGTGTCTCAGAAGTTGGAGAACCAGCGGCTGGCCCTGGAGCGCCAGAACAAAGAGATGAAGGAGAAGCTGTCGGAGCTGGAGGGCCAGAGCCGGGCACGCACAAAGGCCACAATTGCTGCACTGGAGGGAAAGATTGCCAACCTGGAGGAACAGCTGGACCAAGAAGCCAAGTATGTGGCCAGTTTGGGGCCATCTGTCAATTTTCTGAGATTTGGGAACAATAATGTTTGCTGTTTGGTACTCTGTTCTGCAAGGTTGCAAACTCTTCTAAGCCAGAATTGCCCTCATTGGCCATAATGAAGCCATAAATCAACTTAATCCATATTTCTTCATTTCACTTTAAGTGTGATTCTCCTCTGCATCGTCACGCATTTTCAGACAAACTTATCATAATTAATATTATTATTATTATTAGATTATTAATTATTTTTATTTTTATTATTACTCTATTCTAATGCAACATTTCATCGAACATGTTTCTTACACGGCTTGTCTGTTCCCTGTTGTACAAGAATTGGTTTTGCACACATCTTTCTCGATGTGCAATGTAGATGTATAGTGTTTTTTGCTCCATTATGATTAACAGTGAATAGGTTGTCCTCATCGGCTTTAAAGAGGGGTATTTGAATTGGGGAAAATACCAAATGTTTCTTTTTTTACTCGTTTATACCAGTGTTCAACCACTATTATTTTTCACCTTGTGTTCTAACAGAGAAAGATCCTCATTGGCTCGGGCAAACAGGAAGATGGAGAAGAGGAGCAAAGAGCTTGCGTTGCAGGTAGAAGACGAGAGGCGGAGCGCTGATCAGTACAAAGACCAGGTAGGTGGTTCAGAAGGACGTGGCCTCAAATGTCATCCAACTGACATTTATGTATAGTTATGTTTTGTTGTAAAACAGTATTGCTGTCTCGGATGTAATCAGTTTCTTTATATTCTTCATTGTTTCCAAGTCAACTTTGCTCACGTAGGAATCTGATTTTGTTTTTGCCTGTGTTCTTCTTTAATTTGAGATTTGCTTCAGTTAATTTAACTTTTTACGCTTATTTTTATACGCTGGCCCCTCTATGTCTCAACTGTATTTCCCAGATCATTTGTTTCCCCATCTTTCCAGTGCTAATGGAAACATTTTCTTTTGACCAGCTGGACAAGTCGAACAACAGGGTGAAAGCTTTGAAGAGACAGCTGGATGAGGCTGAGGAGGAGGTGACCCGTGCAAATGGTCAGAAGAGGAAACTCCAAAGAGACTTGGATGAGCAGATGGAAGTCAATGAGAACATGACCAGAGAGATGGCCACTCTGAGGAAATACAGGTGAGTTTCCCGACACAGACTGAGCTCTATCATGACCTCGTTGCACAGGAAGATATCTGTGGCCATGAGTTTGGTAGCAGTGACCTAATAACTTGTGTTGTTAACAGTTTGGTAGCAGTGATCTAATAACTTGTGTTGTCAAAAGTTTGTAGCAGTGACTTAATAACTTGTGTTGTTTCTACTAAATGCATTCGGATCTGAAGAACTGAACAGTTCGTGTTTCTTGAGTCGGCAAAGGTTCTTAACGCAGTCATTGTGATGATGATAAAAGATGATATTAGGATTTCTTTCCTCAAAGCTCTTGTGATGGGAAGCTTTTAAAGGAAGAGCTTGTAGTTATGGCAGCCTTTATTTATTTTTATTTTTTGGGGGTCAAAATAGCTTATGGAGATGTGACATGTGATTCTTTCTCTCTCTCTCTGTTGAGAATGTTCAAATTTAACCAGAACATTTTTCCATGTTCTGTCTGTATTCAGTGTTGGTCTGTTCCGACCTGCCTTTCTGATGTTCCATTTCTTGCATCGTCTCATGTGCTCTAAAAACACAACCACAGTAGTTGGTAGTGTCTCTGAATATCCTTTGAAGCTTACAATCCTAAGCTTTGTAACATCTTCTGCCATGGTAAACGACAAAGACAAATTTCTCCCTGCAAGATGAATAAAGATTGTCATTGTCATTTCAGGGTAAAGGATAGAATTTTGGAGCTCTGCCATTGAGCTATTGAATGTTTACAGTTTTTAGTTTTCTTCCATTGCTCCTCCACATATCTAAGTGTTATGCTGATTAAATAATCTTCAAGCCTGACCAACAGTGTAAGATGTATGTGATGTTGTAACTGACGTCGAGAGAAAATGAAGCTGAACATTCTCAAACATTTCATGAAGATCAGAACTCTCTTTCCATGCCTTTGGTTTGACATGCAGCTGAGCAGTAACTTGATGCTGAACAGCATTCATCTATTAAATTCTCCCGACGTCTGTATCCTCCTATGCTTTCAAGTGTCGGCACCAGCGTGAATGACACAAATAACTGCTTGTTTCCTGGTGGCTGGCGAGCACTCTGGTGTGGTTTGCGACATCTAATTCTTGTTCAGTGTCTCTTTTGTCCTTATCAGCTTTTTCTTATGCAGACTTGGTTCAGGATGTTGATTGTGCTGTAAAGTCTAAACTGGACACGCTCCTTTATGTGTACTTGTAGGTTGTGTAGGGCAAAGCATGTGTTTGTGCCTGTTTTTTCTGTCAAGTGTCATAGACAAGGATTGAACTTCGGCTCCATCTTACTTTTCAAAACAGTGCTTGGTTGTCGGGATTCCCAGCCTTCCCTCTTCCCTCTTGTTTTATTTCAGTTGTTAGATTCTGCCTCTTGCTTAATCAGTGCTCTAGTTGACAACTGTTACGTTTTTGTTTTTGTCTCGTTAATTCTTGAGATTATTGTTTTCCTCATCACATAAATACTTTCAAAGTGAAGTAAAATAAAGAAGTAACTGTCCAGTTTTTAGCATGCTTGCTAAAAGCATGTCAACCTGCATACAATGCAAAAAAAATTTCAACCATAATTTGTTTTTCTTACACCTGTTTTGGGTTTTTCATAAACCTTTTAAATGTTGTTGAATCATTATGAATGTACAGTAACAGTCTTCATGTGCATTGAACCTACTGTCTGCAACTTTGTCATTTCTAATTCCTTCAGTAGCAAAAAAGAGAAAGAGTAATAGTAGCTGGGTAAGGAATCTTGTTCTGAACCAATAGGCTTGCTTTTGCATTTTGCTTATCAGTCTTTCCTGACACCGTGCTGTTTTGTTTTTGCTTCCCTTTGAGAGGCATATTTTTTTAGAATGGATCATGATAGTCTCATTGTAGCATGTCTTCCTTTCATACTCACAAGAGATTTCGCAGTCCTGCATTTTTCCCCCCATCTGTCCCACTGCATTATCACTGTAAGACTTACTCCCATCATCTTTATGATATCCTTTTTGCAGGAGCTCGAGGTAAATTTCTGTAAATACAAAAATTATTCAAAAGTCTTTGAAGTTGTAATTCAGTTGTGTTGTAATGTTAGATTTCGGAGTGTCCCTTGATTGGTTCAGCTGTTGTGGCAGCACACGCAAAGTCTCCCTTCCACGGATAAAGTCTGTCTGTCCCTTGTGATGAGCTGAAGCTTCCGTGTTGTTATGAGCATGTCAGTTGGTGTTGTCGTTAAATGTTAACAAGAGAAAATTGTTGATTCTCCTTGCTGAGCACCAAAAAAAGTTCTTTGAACGCCATGCAAAAGGCTTAACATGTTTTTGACCTTCCTTTCCTTTCTTTACCCTTGTTTTGTTGTTTTATTGATGTGTTCCTTTATCGTTCCCCCGGACAAGGCATGTGTCTTGTGAGATACAGAGATGTTGTCGTTGGGACAGATTACTGTTGCATGAGTGGATTCTTCATACCTCTTTTGCTTTTTGCTGAAATCTTACTAACTTAATGTAGGGTAATTAATTCTTTGCTGATAACTTTATGACATCTTTGAAAAATGCCACTGTACACTTTTCTAATGCAAAGGCAAAGCAGGTGTTGTTGCAATAAATAAAAACCCAAAACTTGAATAGGCATTGGTTAAGGTTTGTAATTGGTGAATGTTACCATGAATTGGTGAACTGTTAACCATGCTAGCCACCTCAAGGTCCATAACTTATCTTCCTCCTTGAAGGTTAAAGGTCAACATCAGTTCATAATATGGACCAACTATAATTATTATTATTAGTTCAGGTTTGGAACTGGTGAATAATTTATTTTTTCTTAAATGCACAGTTTTAATCCAAAAGTAGATTGTTTGAAGCCTGCTAGTTTCTCTCTGTAAATGTGAATATATTTAATGGGGGGGGGGGGGGGGGGGGGGGGTTGATTAAGTCCTAAGAATATTCAAGCCATTGGAACTTTTTTCTTTCTTAGACAAAGCAATATCTTGCTGCTTTCACTTCTGCCTTCTCCAGATCTCCTCTTCTCTCTCTTGGAACATTTGCCAGTGCACTACTATGTGCCTACAGTATTTACACAGTCTTCGTTCTCCACTTCAACACAAGCACACACTTGTCTTTGTTTCTTTGTCTATCTCTTTTCCTTTGTCTCTTTGAATGTTCTAGTTCTGTCTCCCCCTTTGCACCCACCTCCTGTGCATTTTGTCCTAGTGTGTTATCAGAAGTTACACCAGATCGTAAGTTTGATCTGGTCACAAGGAAGTCACAGTTAATTAGACATGTAGACAGCACCTTCACAATATCAATTTCGTGTAATTAGTTGACTATTGGTGGTTTAACAATAGAACAGTACAGACTGGTGATATGCCTACCTAGTTAAGGGACACCTATCTAGTTAAGAGACAAGTTCTTGACTGATTATCTTTCAAATTCACACACAGCCCTAGTTGGGTCTGTATATTATTACACACATGAAAACTGCACTGCGATGCCAATGTGAAGTTTAGTGTGTATGTTACTGAGAGTGGGGGGTTGTCGAAGAAGATAACATTTTAACTTACATTATTTGATTTTGCTCGCAGCAGATTTGTCATGTAAAGTGTTTCTTTGTTCCTGTTGTTACTACTGTTGCTCTGTATTATGCCCTAAGCCCAAGTCCCTATTATCCTTCGATTTTTCTGTATCCTTCCTGCATGGTTCAACTGTACATTAAATAAAGCAGCTAAGCAATACTATCCAGGGGTAAAAGCTGTAAAAGATTCATAATGCATGGTTCAGATGTACAATAAACAAAGCAGCAGTGCTTTGTAAAAGTAAGGACTATGAATTCCATTTAGTATCTTCAGATGTTTTGTAAGTTAAGCTTTCGTGCTCAGAGATAGTGATGATCTGTAAGTGCTTCTGAGATTAAAACTTCTAACATCATTGATACTTTTAAGTTTTATTCATTATAATAAGTAGTATTGTTGTTATTGCATGTGTAAATGTTAACACATTTCCTTGTACTTTTTGGTACTTTCGGAGTAAAGACTGGGCCCTTTTCTGTGATTTTAGCATTGTGTGAACCTCATGTTTGTCCATCGTTTGGAGCTGTGAAATATTTGCACTCTTTTATGTTTAGTTGGCCAGTGTTGTTTTCATTCCAAGGGTTGCCTCAGCAGATATACTAAAACTGAAGCACCAGATAAATGCTTACCCCGTACCAGAATTGCTTTTTAAAACAAATATTGTTTACTATAAGTAATAACCCCATTATCTTTCCAATTGTCTGATTGCATAGCGCTGTGATGACAATATTTTGTTGTTTATGTTTTGCTCTTTGAGCATCATGGAGACATCTAGCAGCAGTCATTCTATTTTTTTTCCTTTACTTTACATCTGCTAGCTTGAGGGATATGTGATAATCTACATTTTGAGTTCCTCACTTTTATAGCCCACGGGTTCCTCACTTATTAAAAAAATTATTATAATGTCCAAAAAGCTCAAAACTTATTGTAAAGTTAGCCCTCAAAGGCTTTAATTGATAACGGAATTCTTTAATCATTTCATGACTGTGAGCTTTTTCTGTTTTTATTTTGAGCTGTTCAGATGTCATATTTTTGTCCTCTTTCTGCCCTTCCCCAGAAATAAATAAATACCATATAAACAACCATACAAACCAGTTTGTTCAAAAGATGTAGGGATGAGAGACTTACGCTATTTATGACAGCTGTCACAAGTTCAGATTTATATTTAGCTCTAACTATGGTTGCTTTTAGTTTTTGTTTGTTTGTTTTTATACTCCGTATGTAATGATTCTTGATTTGAGGGAGAAGGCTTGCAATATGAGACAAAGCAGGCTAGTCCTTTGTTACTTTTTGTGGGTTTTTTTGGTGGGGGTTTAGTTTCTTTTTGTATTGGGTGCCATAACAGTTAACTTTTTGTTTCTGTTTCTGCTGATAGAAATCAAGTCTCATAAACTGTATGCTGGCTGAAAAATGCATATTTGTGTAAAAGTATGTTCGTTGTGCACTTTCAATATTCATTGTTCCTGACTGTGTATCCCTGGTGTTTGTCACTTCCAGGCCGTCAGCTTCCCGGTCAGCCCGCTCTGTGATGTCGACCACGCTGCGCGGCTCGGACACCACCTTGGACGACCAGGGCTCGGAGGACGGCAACGAGGACCAGTCGGAGACATAAAGACTTTCTTTGTTGCAACCGTTCTTCTCCTCGTGGACATGACACGGCCTGTGCAGGCGGCTCCATCGGAATGTTTTGTGCTGTAGTTAGGGGGTATCACATAATTATTTTGGTATTCTTATAATCAAAGGTAGAATTATCTTTGAGCCCATGAATTCTCCTGGAATTGTAGTAGTGGCTGTATCCCGGGTCACTGCTGTTGGTAAGGGCAAGTTATTGTTGCGGCATGTTTTATTCCCCAATCAAATGTTGACGCGTATATTGTATCCACTTTTTACTGTGTTTGCTGACACTGTACAGTACTGACCATAGAATGGGCCTGGCATTCTCTTTTGTGTTTATAGCTTTACAAACTGAAGTCACAAGTGAGCCGTGGGCAGAGGAATTTTCTGTCGAACAGAATATAACGGGGTGGAGGGGGGAGCTGAATTATTTAGCTTATGGTTTCGTTTGATGAGCATTGTGCCATGAGTCTAGTGCTCCCTATTGCTCACCTCCAACCATCCTCAAGGTCTACAGTATAGAAAAAGTAAATTGTACCATATGACCGCCACACAGTCTTAGTGCCTGTGGCTCTGAAAGGACTGTAGTACTAGTGATTGCTTTTGTTGCCGAATACAGCCTTTACAGGTGTAGTCCTTGTCCAAAAACTGCTGTAGACTGGTCGTGTTCAACCACAGGCCACAAAAGAATATGAAAACTGAAGCTGGAACCAATTCTTAGCCTGAGAAATTTTTGCATGCTGTGTGTCACAGGTGAGGATGTCAGTTCCATAGCTCAATGTAGTCTAGGACTTTGTATAAACAAATCATGATGATCATGTTTACCTGAAATCTAAAAATGAGGTTGCATTTTTTTTTAGTTGTTACCAGTGCTTTCTAGAGCTTTATCTTTTAGTTCTGTGGCTCAGATCTACCAATGTCAATTGATGATTTTGTGTTTGAATATTTGACAGAGTATCAGTGGTAGACTGCTCTTCGTATGTAAAGCGTGAATATTAAAAGATGCCTTTGCATTTGAATGTAGTGTTCTGCTTTTTCTTCCAATAAATTCATTGTGTTCATAGAGAACTAAGGAAAACTAGAGTTATCTGCTTTCTTTTTTATTTCTCATGATGTATGTGAAGGTATCAATTCCATAGTGTCGTAATACCATACAATTTTTTATGTATTGGTTTACTTATTTCAATTCAATGAATGCTATTAGTTATCGTTGTGTAATCTACATCTATCCTTTATAACTTTATTATGATTTTATTACCAAATTATCTGAAGGAGTGATGCAGCACTTAAATGCTGCTCCTTATTTTTGTGTCTTGAGGCCAAATACTGAGTACCTCAAAGTAGCAAACATTTGGCCTTGAGTGGACACCAGCAGGATATCTATGCTGCCAGGCCTAGCTCCCCAAGACTTGAGGCTAGTACAACGCCCGGCACTGGAATAACCCTGGCTCTGGCTCAACCTGTCAGATCCCAAGACATTGGGCAGGTGCACGGTGGTGCTGTCTGTCCCAGTTTTGAACCATATCGCACGTGTTAATTCCAGGCAGTTAAATATCAAGCTCATTCCATAGACCTGTAAAGTATTTTTCTTTATATATTCTCTTTCATTTTCTAGACTTCAGTTTTGACATTTTTAATCTGTCTTTCAGTCAGACAGAGGGTGGATATTTGGAGTGCATGTTTGCATCCAATAGATATATTTGCATTTGCCACCTTTTCATGGCTCTGAGCTGTGAGTGAAGTTTTCGGGGGGTCAGAGGGGACTGCGATTGTTGAAGTATTGCATGTTATATAACCCAGATGATGGTACAGACACCTGTAGTACAGCGAGGACTGGCTTTGTAGGGGAACTAATTACCAAAAAGAGAACTAATATTTACTCAATACAATGTATTGTATTCTCCTTCTCCTTATTGACCACCTAGTGTGTAGGTGACATTTTAGAGAAGATCACCTATTTCCGCTGTTGGACGTAAGCTTTCTGCTTTGATTAATTGTTTTAGAAACCAGTTTTGTCTTTGGCATAGCGTTACTAATATTGAGTCAAATTCAGTATGACTGTCCAAGCAGTTGTTTGTTGCATTCCACCAATAGATCCTTTTTCAGGGGATGGAATATTTGTGCAGTGTGTAAACCTGTCTGTTAGCAGGGCATCTTCTCTTGGTATTACCATTATTGCATTTATCAATGCAAACTCATGCGTAGTGCAAATTCTAGTAATGAAAGCAATTGCTAAAAAAATATTCCATGCAAAACTGTTCATTCATTTCTCTACTAAATAAATATGAAAAGGAAATTCCCCATTGAAATGGTAACTGTTGACACTGACGGGATCAAAATGGTATCAGTATTTGTTATTATATTGGTGCCTGAACTTTGTTGGACTGCATTGAATGAAACTTCCTCCCTCCAAACCTTTCATGATTTATTAACAAAACAAAAAAAGAATGTCTTTTGTGTAGCCACACTTGTTTCATTACAGCTTGATGCAATAAATACATCATGTACTGCTTTGCTGAACTTCCAAATAAACTCTCAAACACTTAGCACAGCATCTGTTGTTCCTAGTTTTGTGGAGTTCTTGCCTGATGAAATAAAGGCTTCCTTATTCCTTACCCAAAGGGCCATTCCATGACAAGTGAAACTTCAGTGGCACACATGAGACAGGCCTGATGGATGACCTGTTGTTAAATTCTATCTAAACAGTCTAAACAGTGGTAGAGCCGGGTTTTTTTTATTGGGGGGGGGGGGGGGGGGGGTAGTAGAAAGTTGCCTCCAGCTCGTACAAAAAGAAAAGGAATGGCTCAATCACTGCTGAGAATTTTTTTCCTCTGTGTTATGTCTGTCACTGCAGTTTTGTTTTTCATGGAATGGCCCCAAAGTGTTTTAAGCAGACCTTTCTGGAATGCTTACAAGTTGCAAGAATGAAACTGAAAACTATTTTCTGTTTTTCTCCATCTGGGAAGCACACTGGAGAATCTGCCCTAGGGTACAGTCCTGAAGGTCCATGGTATCGCTTGGTTATGCTGAACTTTAATCCCTTGACATGCGAGAGCCTAGCTCCTGACAAACCCAGTTGGGGAGCAACAAGTCGTAGGCTTCTCAAATTAGAAATGCTGAAGCCAAGTGAGAAGCCCACAAGCTGCGCACATCCACAAGTGGAAATTATGAGTCATTTGATGATGTTTATAAGCTCAAAATGAGTCAAACTTTTCTCTGCTAGAATTGATCTCATTGGCCAAAGCGGAAATCACAAATCATTTTAATCCTGTTTTTTTCTTCTATTTCTTGAAGAAATATTTTCAAAAATCCTTCTGTGCTGATACATTGGTCATGTTCAGACTTTGAAGGACAAAGTTTTCTTATGTACGAACCGTAGACTGGATGTACTGCACAGGTGACTGTGGTATAGCGGTTAGGCCTATGTTGCTGTACACAGAATATTTGATTTTAATATTATGTGATTTCGATTCCTCAATGGAGAGGTTTTTAATCGAGTATCTGCATCTGTCTATAGAATATTGTGTCCTACTGGTTCATGGGTGAACCTGATAAGCAGGGTCAAAGCGGGGGCTCTGGTAGTCAAGAGGTTATGGCATGGTGTTCTCCTCTCATTCAATAGGTCCCGGGTCCGAAACCTGGCAGCGACGAAATATTTTTTTCTCTCATCTCCTTTCCTGCTCTCTAGGCTAACTTAAACTCTATGTTCTGACATCTGCTTTCGTCTCCACTTTCTCCCCCCCCCCTCTCCTTTGCCTCCTCCTCTTGGCTCCTGACTATCTCAGCAGCCTTTCTACTTCTGCTGCTACTCCTTGGCTCCTTCTTACTGCTGTCTTTCACCACACCCCTGGTCTTATGGCAGGTAAGATCTAACACCTACCCATCTCGGATAAGGACGAAAAATCTCTCAAGATCCTTTGGTTGTCCAAAATCGATAAGAGTAGGCTTCACCCACCATCCGAGCAGAATTCAAAATTCCTACCAAACTAAAATGTTGTGACCTTGTGCAGTTGCGAGTGCCGTAAAGCACTTACCAAAACAAACAAGGGTCGAAGCAGCCCGCCTCCTTAATACTCTAATATTTTTTTATGGGGCATGAGTCCTTTACAATTACTTGAATGATCAGTAGTCACTTTCTTCAGGCCCAAGAATGATGATGGTTCAAGATGAAATATATAATTTTGCCACAAATCATGCAAACGAAGGTTGTCGTATGTTGTTGACTAATTAATTAATAAATACTCAGACTCTCAAAGTCTGAAGTGCGTATGGTTGGCAGGTGCTGTCACAACTGTTAAGACTTAAGACTATTGGAAAAGAAAATCTTACAAGAATTACTCTAGAATTTATAGCGCCAGATTACCTGGAGTGACTGAGGGCCGTGTGGTGCGCGTATGTTAGTAGAAAGTAAATGTATGAGCTTAGCGCCTCCATCAACACTATACTTCATGTATTAGGTTATCTAAGTCAAGAGGCGGGACCTCCAAATCTAACGCTCCTCTCCGGTGGGACCTAGTCAAATGGATTGAGAGCCGACTTGAAAAATCCTCGAAACAACATGAGTTTTAAAAACGCAGGGTCTGGGATTCAAACCAGGGCTATAGTACAGAATGGCTGAGCTAACGAAACGCCCTGTGCATGCGCTGCTGGGCAGGGGCGAAGGCTGACATGTTTGACACTGTAATCAAAGAGAGATGGGACCAGATAGGCCTGGAGATATCACACTCACACAAGTCACAAGAATCTTACTGGCACTGGAGACTGGAGGCGGCAACTCTAAGTTGTGAATGAAAACAAATCCTGAATTCATGTTGTATGCATATTCAACCGCTAAAATAATAGGGAAAGTATTTTATTAAATATTTTTTCTAACCTTAAATTTAACTTTAGATTTGAACACACGAACACCAAGGAAAGAAGCAGAGATGTCAGTTCTACAATGGCAGACAGCCGAAACACTTTGGTAGAACATGCCAATTATTTATTTTTTATTTCACATTTGGCTGTTTTTTGTCTAGCTTTTCGCGGCCAGGAGCCGCTGTCATAATCGAGGTCACGATCTGATTATAGGACGTTAAAAAATCGAGGGGAAAAAAACCAAGCACGCGCAGCAGTCAAGATAATATTAGGAGTTAGTTCCCCTCACATCTGTGAGGTAGACTCGACCAGTGTAATAGTTAGCTTACATAATCAGCGGGTGTGGGTGCTTATAACTGTGGCTCGAAAGGGGTGAACAGGGTATATATATGCGGCAAATGAAACAGTTTTGACTGCTATGCACATGTTCCCTTCAACTCTATTGGTAGACTCTTCCTGTCTCACTTTAAGCTTACTTAATCAAAGCTTGCGACTACTTATGGAGTGGCCCGATAGGGGCGAACAAGTTATTTCTGTGGCAATGAAACGGTTTTGAAGGTTAGGCATAGTCTATTGTTCATTGGTGATCATGAACGTCTCTTTACGTTTAATTTATGAGGTTTACGTCTATGGGTGAATTTGACTGCGACAATGTTTCAAAATTAGGAAGGGAAGCAGTGACTATTTGATTATATAGACGCTTCGCCTCTGCTGCTGGGTAAGTCTTGCCATGGTGGAGCTCCGGACATTTGCCTGTCAGGTTTCTTCAAAACTGACATGAAAAGAAAAAACAATTCCGATCCTGCCTTGGTTCAGACCTCGACCCGTATATTTCAGTCAAATTTACTGGCGTCTGTGGTGTAGCCTTCAGATTTAGGCGTTTTGTAGTCGCATGCAAAAGACCCGAGTTCCATTTTTCAGTTCTGCGTGGGAAGATATTTTTATTGGCATTTCTGCTCGGACGTTAACTGATTCACTCTCACCCAGGGTCGAAATATGCTTCCCAAATTATATAAATTGTGCTGACAGGGGCGTAATATAAAAAAATAAAATAAAAATTTTAAAAAACATAAAGCAACAACGGCAAACAAAGAATTTAACCAAAAACAACAACAACAAAAAAAAACCCCAACAACACTAGCTTGAACGTTTGAACCTCCAGCTGAACTTTCTTAGACTGGGGCTGTCTGGGGAGAAGGTAAATAAAATCGAAGTGTCCACCTCTATTTTATACCTTGATGTTAATACGCCACCCATTTGAAGGTCAGTCATCGTTCATAATCTGTCTGGGTTTTTTTTTTCTCAGACAGATTACGAAGTAAAAAAAACCCCAGACAGATTATAAATGAAATCATAGCTAGCCTACAGCCATGCTTCCCTTACCGCTCCAGTTCTCATTTCTTTGAAACCCCAGGAGAAAAATGCCAAGAAAAGGCACCTCGTCTCCCCCCCCCCCCCCCCCCCCCCGATCCCTTTTGGATCTGGGCGGTCTCAGTGGTATAGTCGATAGTAGATTCTCTAACCATGATCGCTGGTCTTTGTACTGCGAAGTATGATTTCCACGTAAAGACAGTGTTCCTTGCCTTTTTCCAGATATCAATAATAAGCCGTTCTTCAAAGATGTTATCAATTATAATGTTGTGCAATTTACATGTAGTAAGAGGGGCGTTCCCACGATCCCGTCCCCCTCATCTCCCCCCCCCTCTCTCTCTCTCTCTCTCTCTCTCTCTCTCTCTCTCTCTCTCTCTCTCACTCTCGCCCTCCCTGTGTTTATGTGTGTGTATGTGTGTGTGTGTGTGTGTGTGTGTGTGTGTGTGTGTGTGTGTGTGTGTGTGTGTGCACTAGAATTGCTTTTTTCACAGAAGACTTGCGGGTATTCTGTAAACAAGAAGGAACATATACAAAGATTTCCACTACGAACAGGGAATCGAATTGCTAATCAACGAGAGTTAAGTTTCTCACTTGAAGAAATCGATTCCCACGTAGGCTACCACCAATCTATCACTTTCCACGTTCCACCAAGCTAAGAACAGACAGAATATATTTTGTAGAATGCAGACTGTCAATTTCTCTCAAAAAGACGTGTGTTCGGTTTCTTTCTGCTGCCTGTGAAAACCTGCATCTTCAATAGTTTTTCTAGTTTCTAGATAAGATTCTGGGTCGTTCGCTACCTGTTTTTTCTAATTCTCTATCAAATAGCTACATAATATATCAAGTATGGGAGGATCGTGTATAAATAAATAGAGATAAATGGACGGAGAAAAAACCCACTCTGTGTGCCACTATCCATATATATATATATATATATATATATACCGGTATTCATTAGTAACCAGTTATTTTACCCACACAGATTGTTTACACCCCCCCCCCCCCCCCAATCTCTTGGGTAATCAATTCAGCATGTTCAACGATGTCTCATGTGACATCTTGGAAATTCCCACGAACCAGGCTGACTCGCAAGCATGCAGACGTTATCTCAATAAATTCACATCATTAGATAACGACGCTGGAATCTGTTTTCATTTAGTGTTTTCGCCGCTCATGAGCTCTGGCCGATCTTCTCATAACATACACTTAAAAGATATGTCCTCCTTGCGTAGCCTTCTCAAACTGGTTGAGCCCTTCACGCTTTCTTCCCCCAGGTGGTTTCTTTCTTTTTTTGGTGGGGGTGGGGAGAACAGGGCCCGCTGAAATACATTGCCTGTGGTATAGGCTACTATATAATGTTATCATATTAGGCCTATGATATGTTCTATAGGCCTACGTTTATACGTCTTTCATTTTGTTCTTTTGGTTATTTTTTAAAAGGTTTTTTGTGGTATGATTTGATTGCTTGAACAGTTCGCTGATCCTGTCGTTATCGTGTCTCCTGTTTTGACAGAGCATACCCCATCCTGGCATTAACAAAAAATAAACCGGTAAATAGAACAAAAATACCATTCGTTCTTACGGCGCTTCAGTCTTTTTTTTCTTCTTTCAACGTCGCCGTGTTAGTTCTCAAGCATAAACTAGTAGATTGTAGGCAACGCCCACTTCCGATAGATCGGAGTGGAAAGCTGTACAACTCGCCAAACAACCAGCTCTAGCTATGGAAACCGGGTCAGCCAAAGGTTTTTCAAATCAAAATCTTCCATTTCCAGAATATTGGGCAGTTGCCCTCTTTAAAAAAAAACATATTTGTAAAATTTTTTATTATTTTTTTTTTCACAGAAGGCACCAACAGAAACGACCATAAACCTGTTGGATGCCTCGTTTGTGCCGCAGACAACTTGAGCAATATGGAACAAGAGTCAAAAAAGAAATTTTAATATAGATCTATATGCCCTACTTTAGTTGCCCCTTTTTGATTCTCACAACAAGTTACGCTACCTTCATATCTCTGAAAAAGAGGATCTCAAATTTGCCCTCCCCCTCCCCCCACCCAACCACCCGTCTCCTCTTAATACAGAACTCACTGACAACAAATTGTTATAATTCATATTCCTCAGCTTGACAAACAAATCTGACTTTCTGAATGCACGCTGATTATCTTTTTTTTTTTGGCTGCCATTAGGAACTCTTTTGTAGAAAACAACCAAAAAACAATGACTGCCCAGGGGAAGTAACCGTCATTGTCTCGGATGGTGGTGGTGCGATTTGAGAGAGCCAGAGTGAGAGAAGAGAGATAAACGAATGTCGATCCGACGTTCAGCATGCCTGTTGTGCGATAGTTGTGTTTCCTCAAAGGAAAATGTAGATCTGGTGTTTGGTGATATTCTTGAGACATTACACGTTAAAGAACATTTGATGCAAGACAAGAATTTGATACAACTTCAAATATTTGGTGGAGGAAGAGTCTGTCTTCATGATTGACCGAGACTGACTATTGTATCAGTGAGCAAGAATGAATGGTTGATGAGAGTAGGTGTGGCGTATAGTGGGCTCTATAGTCTGATGTCTTGGTTTATAAGGAAAAGAACTTTGAAAGTGACTGAATAATTTCGAAGCTGATCTGTAAATTAGCCCATCGTCAGTGAGGTTGCCATTTAATTTATGAGGCCATAATTTGTTCTGGGTTTGTTAGCAGAAAAGCTAGAAAAAAGCAGTCCAAAGAATTGAGTGAGAATAAAAAAGAGAATGAGAATGCTGTCTGTTTAATGTAAATGACACTCCGTACTAGATCTAGATCTATACACTAATGAATGGCTATAGACTATGAAAAGTTGATAGAGGGTTGAACTGCCCTCCTCTGTTGGCATACAGTAGAAACCTTTGTGTTGTTCAAAGTTGTTTTACAGTACAGCCCCCAAGCCCAAGAAGACGAGATGGTAAGGTTTTTGTCCATTTTAAAGAATATTAACATGTATATAATATATATTGCATAGATCTATATATAAAGAATTTATGGCTTTTTTACAAAGTTTTACTTGTACTGTAAGAATATTGTACTTGTACTGGGAATTTTAAAAGTTTTTAACCTGACACGGTATCAAATGTAAGGGGGAACTATGAGGCCAGTTCCACTTTATGGCATTTTTGCTTATCATCAGGGGTGTGACTATTCAGACACAGACACGATCCTGTGGAGCCTCAGCCCCCCCCCCCCCAGGTCATTTCAGGTAGAGATTGGTTTTCAGCACCCTCCAACGCCAACAGCGCATTTCCTGGTCTTAGAAATTTTATGCAAACTGCAAAGATGCATTGGTCGAAAAAGAATGAGAAGCGCTTCATTCTCAAAAAGAAAAAGATCCACAATATGCTATACTCGCATTAATGCTAGAGTAGAAGGACGCATATGTCCAAATATATACACAGGAGCTTTTAAAAACTGACACGTGTCCCAATAGATGCTACCAATCATCAGTGTAGTGTATAAAGTTAAAAGTTGTTCATAATATATAAATTAAATTGGTTTGAGAAAGACATGTTTTTGTGATATTATTGTAATGAGAGGATAACTGCTATCTAATCCTAGATTCTACTCGTTAGTCTATTTACGTTGGTTTCAATACTCACTGTTTCGAGCGGGGAACGATGAGTGTGGGTCGTACAGGTCCGGAGCTCCATCCACTGTGTCGACCCACCAGTAACGTCGATCCCTGCTCAAACTAGGTTTTAGTCGTGGCTCGGAAGGCCAGTTTAACCTTCGCCGTCTGTTTATATTCCCCCCGTGCTCCCATTCTCCTACACTCACTAGGCTACACTGAGTTTGTTTACTTATTTCACGTGATTCTGGCTTGTCTGGTAATCACAGCGAATTATAAACCACAACTATTCTGCCTGTATGATTCTCCCAGATTCAATGTGATTTAGAATATTATTCAAATAAAAGTTATTGAACTCTTTTTTTTCAGGATATGAATGTACTTAGAGTAAAAAAATTTTTCAGTGACTGATAACTTTTATTTCAAGAAGTGGCTTTCAAAAAGAAGCCGAGCATTCTGAAAAGTTAGACTATGAGACTCTGGTATTACAGAAAAAGTCAGTTTCAATTGGTATGCAGTTGAACCTGCCATTACAGAGACCTGTCACGATGGAATATCCCGCCTCCCGTCTTGATAAATTCCTATCTAAGACAGCCAAAGATTCACAACCTGAAAAAACAGAGAGAAAATACTTCCTTACGGATGGTTTTGTCCTGTCAAAGTCAGAACGGCTTTGCCCGCTCAACCCTTATTATTATTTGGAACTATACTCTCTAGTTTGGTTCCTCTAGCTCTAATCTTTATGCCACGCCGTCAAGCGAGGGAGAAGGGAAGGGTGCAGTTTTGGGGTAGCTGATACCCCACCCATGTGAGCCCTGAGCAATGCAGATGGTCAGGGTGAAGTAAGTGTGAAATTTCATCTTTACTTAAAGTGCTCAAGTGACGCTCCGGAATGGAAACTTCCCTTGGTAGACAGAGGTATGAAATTTGACCACTGTCACTACCTAATGCCCTGAAGTACGACCAGTTGAGGAAAACTTCTTCTAATTGTTGTAACATGCAGGGGAAGGGTGGCTTTGGTTGATTACTTGTGCTTATTACATTGATGGGTGAGGCCAAGGGTGGTAGGAAAAAGTTCAATCATTTCTGTTTTCAATTGGTCAAACATTCAGTAGTCCTAATGAGATGCAAGAATTGGTGGCAATTGATAGTAAGACTGATGCATGCTATCAGAGCAGCTAGGATAGCACTTTGGAGGTGTGAAGTTTGACCACTGTTTGCCAACTGGGCAGGTGACCCTTGAATACAGTTGGACTTCCTGATACTATTGCCCCTAAATTCCCCTGGCAAAGATGGGAAATGTCTTGGTGGAATAAAAAAAAAAATCTCCCTTCTGATTCTGTCTTCAACGTACATGTTCAATTTTATTTAACTGTAATGTAATTTATTAACTCTTTTCACTGCTATATTTTGTTTATGTGAATTAGGTCTTATGATAATGACATTTTGCTCTCTGAGAAATAGCTTTTTTCTTGCGTGATGTTCTAAATAAATATATGTATTTGTTTCCAAGGTGCCGTGTAATCTTTTGGGGTTCTCTTTCTCTTTCAGGCTAATCTTGAGGAATCTCTCCAGGGTTTGACTGCTCTTATGAATGAGTTCTTTGCCCCACAGACTGGCAATGAGAGGAAAAGAGAGATAGGTAGGGCATGCATCAAAATTTTCTCTTGTCCTCCTTTTGCAGTGACCATGTCTCTCTCTCTCTTTCTCTTGCCTTTTTTAACTCCCAGTGGAGCATAGGCCATCAACATTTCTCCAGCTGAAGCCTGTCCTGTGCATCCTTTTGTAGCTGTTTCCATGATGTCCCCGCCTTTTCCATTTCCGTTTGTACCGCTCGCCTCCATGTCATTTAGGCCTCCATCGCTCTAGCAACCTGCAGTGCCTTCCCTGCCTTGTACATTGTACGAACATTCCAGGTGACAAGTTTGATGGTTCCTCTGGTCGACAGGAGGTTTCTCGGCTTGGTGGCTTCCTTTCGGCTTTCACCACCCAGCGTCTTTCTACACTCTATTTTCTCTCCTCTCTCTTGTGATGAAGGTCCTCCATCTTCCAGAACTGGCGGTCGTGTTTTTGCTGTTGATGTTTTTGTAGCTGTTTTTTATTTTATGGGAAAGGGCTGCTAACCCTTTGCCAAACCGACCTTAGTCGGCTTCTACGACATGTGCGGTACGGATACATTGGTCCTATTCTTTGCTCCCCTGTCTCTTGTACAGGGCCCCGGGAACTACGCGGCTGTGCAGTGACCATGTCTCCACCATTCCCCTTTTAGTCTGACAGGAAACAGACTGTGTGTGGTTGGCGAATGCTCTTGTGTATTTTTCGCCTTTTCCCTTTCAAACATCTATTTTCCTAATCTCTCCAGGAACAGGAGTTCAAAAGTTTATTGAAAGAAAAGATCACGTAATTACTGTTGTTTTTTGTTTCTTTAGTGGAGGAAAGTTTGTATGCTTTGAACTTTTAATATTCTTAAAAGCATTGCTTTATGATATCTCTTTATTAAAGTATGACAGGCAACTCATTAAATTTCGTCCATTAAAATGTCTCTGTCAATTTAAAAAGCAGTGTTGATGTTTAAGCCAGTTGAATTTTTTTTTACTCTGTTCATGTTCATGAGTCCCAAACAGTGGATAGTCAGTGTTTGAGTGAAAATATTTTGTTCTGATCCAAAGTAAAAAGTTTTGGTTGCTCCTCACAAATGATTCCTGCATGGTAAGAAATTTTTATTGTGTATCTCGATCTTTCTGCTAGGATTGTATCCCTCTCAGTCTTTGTTAGCCCTGGCAGTTAGAGTTGGAAGCTTGCCTCCTAAATGATCTAAATTGTTTCAGAGGGGGTGTAAAATCACCTACGTTAAAAAAATATATGTTATTCCACAGAAACGACCCTAAATGAGTTCACTCAGATGTCCAATGCTTGGGAGATGTGCTTGTTCTTCATGGCCAATACTCAAAATGAATACGTCCAGATGTTTTGCTTGAATGTTATTGAGGTTTGAAAGAGGATTGTTGTCTCTTTTTTGACTGGTGTCTATGATTTATTTTTGTCTTAATATGAAATGTAAAAACCATTAAAGTGAATTTTATGAATCAGAATTAATGTCACTCTTTTTTTTATCTCTGTTGGGAAATTTAGTGTTACAATTGCAAGTACAATGAGTATTTTAGAAAATATGTTCAGAGGTTACATCAAGGTCACACAATACATAGTGTCACATGGATACTCTGTTCCGAACATTTTTTTTTTCAATATAATTAAATCTTAAATCATCCATTTGTGGATTAAATTGAATGAAAAAGACAAATATTATATTTGATTTTCATGCATTATATTTTAACTTCATGTTGAAAAGGCTTATTTAATTTTGAAGGTTTTTGTTGTTGTTTCTTTCCTTCTTTTGTCACAGAGTGTTATAAGCCGAAAATGGATGAACTTGTCGCCAAATGAAAAGCTGGAGATTCGAAGCAGAATCTACGACTCATTACTACAGCATCATTCAACGTTACCCAGCTACATAAGAAACAAACTTGCTAAATTGCTGGTCAGCATAGGACGCAATGACTGGCCACACTTTTACCCAGACTTCTTTTCAAACATTTTGCAGGTGAACTTCACTGTTGCGTCTCTCTGTTTCGATTCAATAGTTTTATCTCATGGGGCTCTCGTGGCCTTGAGGTGTTCGCCTCCCTTCAAATGTCCCGGGTTCGCATCCGGGTAGCGGCGGAAACATTTTCTTCTCTAAAAAATTGTCTCCTCTCTAACAATGTTCTGTCATCTGCCCTTCGTCCCCACTTTCGGCCTCCACCCCCTCACCTCCTTTGCCCCTCCTCTGGGCTTCTGACTCTTTCTGGAGCCTTTCTATTGTTTCTCCTTGGCGCCTTCTTACTGCTGTCTTTCAGCCACACCCCTGGTCTCCTGGTAGGAAAGATCTACACCTAGCCTTCTCAGACAAGGACGAAAAATCTCGTAGGTCCCGTGTGCAAGTCGTGCACGTTAAAGATCCCTTGGTGGTCTAAAATCGATAAGAGTAGGCTTCGGCCGCCACCTGGGCAAAATTTAAAATTTCCTACTGACTGAAAATGTTTAATGTGTCATATGACCTTACTCAGTTGCGAGCGTTGTAAAACACTTACAAATACAAAAAACAAATTCTTTTACAACGTTTTCAGGATGTTGGTAGTGTAGTAGTAAGGCTGCCAGACTCGTAATCATGAGATTAAGGATTTGGGGTTTTGGAGCCTATTTTGCTTCGTTACTATCTGAGATGAATGTTAAATTTGGGGGTCTCGCTTCTTTAAGTACCTTACAATGTTGCATTGGGTAAAATTTAGAGGACATGTGTTTGAAAAGGGCATTGCATTTGAAATTGTTTAAATAACATCATGCTGTGAAGGGTCGGGACTCCTTAAACCGAAATCTGCTGGATTGCCAGTGTTTCTTTGGTTTAATAGTATTTTGGATTAAGAGAGATTTCTCACACGGCTTAGAAAAAAATCTGGGATTCTTATTTGTTTTTGTTTACCACTGTTTTTAGGTTAACCGCGTTTATGTCGAGTGAACTCTATTGTATATAATATATGACAAGTATGAATTGGTTTGTCTAAAGTGTACTTGTGAGTGGTTGGCAGGTGCTGTGGTGTGGTTTTCTCCTTCTTTCCTATCAAACATCTATCGTCCTGATCTTTCCTCCTTCTTTTTTTGTGTTTGTCACTCTCTTGTAACGCCTCTAGTCTTCGGCACTTATATGACCTTATTGTGTTGCAAGTGCTGTAAAACTCTTACTAAAATAAAAGTACAAGCATGTTTTTACTAGTAATATCTAAATGTGGTTAAAAAAACCGAATGTTGTCTTGTGTGTGTGTCCCTAGCTGGCCCAGCAGAGTGAGACGGCGTTGCTGGGTGTGGTCCTGCTGCAGACGGTGTCCGAGGAGTTGGCCGCCCCCAGGGACGACCTCAGCATGTCCAGGAAGGAAGAACTCTTGAGGCTGCTGCAACACCAAGTGCCCAATGTCCTCAATATTCTCAACAGTGTGTAGTTTATTTGCAAATATTTTATGCCCCCACTGACACAAAATCACTGCATGCGAGATGAAATGTCTCTGCAAAATCCTTAACATCACAAGACGACAGGTAGAGAAATGAAAAAGTAAGAGCAGCTATTTGCACTGAGTCTTGCCTGCATTTAACAGAAAGACAGAGAATAAAATGGTTTGGCCACCTGTTACGTATGTCACTTAACCAGCCAGCCTCGAGGGCCTTTAACACCAAGCACTCAGGCTATAAAGGGAGAGGAAAGCCACGCAAAAGGTGGATTGAGGGCGTCAAGTAAACCCTGAGAAATCATAATGTCCCAACTGAAAGAGCTGCGGAGCTGGCCTACCACAGAAAACTATCTCCCCTCGATGCTTTATGGCAACAGAAAATGAAAAAGTAAAAGTATGTAGGTGTTGACTCAATTCAGGAGAGCCCCCAGGAATGACCTCAGCATGTCGAGGCAGAAAGAAGTTCTAAGACTGTTACAACACCGAGTGCCTGATGTGCTCATCATTCTCAATTGTACATACAGTCAAACCTGCTCTACGGCCACTTCTCAAAGACAGTCACCTGTACTAACGATTACTTCCAATTTTCACTTGCATTTTTTTTTTTTAAGATTATTACACTGTCCCAAGAGATCCATCAGTCTAGGAAACCACTTTTCTCCTTGGCAATGTGTGGCTACCTGGGACTGTTTTGACTTCATTTTAATTGTAAATGTTTTGTGCACCCATAAACACAATTAAGATAATTTAAACGATGAGAGGAAAAGATATCCCAGCAGATAGATGAGGATACTTGATAAAGACCTCAAATCCTTTAACGTTTTTGGGGGCATCCCTGTATAATGAAATGAATGTTTTCGTTTGGAATTGTTCTGGTAATGTTTCAGACTGATCTTTATATTTCCCTTTTCTTAAACTCTGTATGTCCAAGGGGAGTAAACTCACCTTGTCGTGACCCTCTTTTGGTATGAAATCTAAAAGTGACATGTGTGCATTGTGGTGAAATCAGGCGCTCATCGAAAAAAGGAAATAGAAGAAACGGGCATTTTGCCTCTAGTTTGGCAATTTAAATCAAATTTCTGTTTATTGGCTCAAAATCTTCTATGTCCATATTAAATCACATTTCCATTAGAATTTTAGTTAAAAACGTTGATTGATGGCACAAAGTTTTTAAATTTTCATTTGTCAAGGAATCTCAAGCTATAGAAGTCACCAAACTTTGGTGGCCATTTTCTTACTAATTTTACCTTTGAAACCAGGCTGTCCCCACCTCCTTTAATCGCTAATATCTTGAATTCTATTCAAGATACATGGGTATTTTTTTCGTAGAAAGCAAAGAAAATGAATAAGCTTTCAGATGATACCAATAACTCCACATGCTAAAAAATTGTCGAGCACCTGATTCCACCATGTCATGACACATGTTCTGTATATTCTATATGTTGTACTGACTGAAGTAAATCCCCCCCCCCCCTCCTCTATCCTTGCTCCATGTGAAGATATTCTGGAGGCCATGTTGGAGAAGCACCGCCACCTGGTTGTGGCCACACCTCCCCCGTCCCCGACCTCCGGTGATGGAAGCTCAAGGTCGTCCCGACAAACCACAAACCAACTCATCTCTTCATCTCCCATTGCTAATGGTCAGTGGGAAACTGAATGTGTATTCCATATGGATGGTGTTATGCTCTAATAGTTTGATTTGCTTCTTGAAAATTGTTCAACACGCACAAAATCCTGTTCTGATTTTAATGACGAGGGAAACTTTAAGTAGTACTTTCACACTAATTTATAGTGCACACCTATGTCTGATTTCTATTTAGAACCTACAGATTGACCCAAGCAATGGTTTTGAAACAAAATAATGTTTGTTTTATTTCTTCCAGTAATTTACTTAGAGCAGAACATCATTGAAATATCTGTGTGTGTTACACTAACTCAGTTAAGCCCCACCTAAAAACCTGTGCTTATGGAGAGTGCTGTGATGTTTGCTGCATTTATGCATGTCACCAAGGCTATTTGAGACTTTTAGCTTACGAGCATCTGATATGACTGTTGTGTTAATGCAGCTGTCTTCACTTTAAAGAATAACATTGATACTCAAATACAATGCTGTATTTTATTATTTTTCAAGTAGATGTAATCGTAAAGACAACTGTTCCGTATTGTTATTGTCTGAAGTTTATAGACTAGAGGGATTCTATGAAGTTGTAAGATTTAAGTATCTTTCTATTTGTGTTGTAAAACTGACTAAAACTAACACCGCATCTACATGTAGTTTCTATGTGTATCAGCGTGTTTTTGCGGGATTCTAAACCTTGCTTTTTGTTTTCTTTTCAGCCAACTTTGTGTCCTTGCTACTGGGCAGTCCAAACCGAGGCCCACAGATGGAGGCCCTCCCCCCACTAGACGAGGCCTCGCATCAGTTGTGCTGGACGGGACTCACGTGCCTTTCCCACTTCCTATCATGGATCCCGCTGTCGACAGTAGTCAGGCCTCAGCTGCTGTCCACCATATTTCACTTTGCCGCGTTCGGCTGCCAGCCCTCGGTGGAGAGCAACAGTGCGGGGAGCTCCAGGAGTGGAGCATTCAGTAGCAGCACCCACAAACTTGGTGAGCTTTTTACACTGATTATTTGTTCCTATACTCTCAGGAAGTCAAGCAGCTCCATGACAAGGAAAGTGTTGACATGGAACCCACAGGGTTAAAGATCAAGAGGAAGACCACGTGGAACCTAGAGAAGAGTCACCGAAATAGATGTACAGAAAAGTAGGAAGACATGGAACAACATTAAGCGGTTAGCCCAGGATAGGGAAAGATGGAAAGTGTTTGTTCGTGGCCTATACCTTTACCCAGGGGGAGAAAGGCAGTGATGATGATTTGTTCCTAGTTACATTTTCCTTGTTACTTTTCCCCTGTTCTATGTAGGTGGATGATGTCTGTGTTGCAGCAGTGAGGTGCTTCGCTGTTGCACACAGGAGACCGGAGTTTGATTCCTGAGTGGGTAGAAATTTGTATCGAGTATCTCAAACTTTCTGTTGGGATATTTTGTCACCCTCAGCTCAGGCTGGCCCTGACAGGCAGGATAAGAAGCCTGCCTCCTAGTTGATCTAAAGTGTGTTCATTGGGGTGTCTTTGTAAGCCGTGTTTGTTTCATTTTCAGTCAAGATTGGTGTAGCACATGTTTAATTTTTCCACTGCCAGATACAGGTTGTTTTTACGTTGAATTATTAGACTTCAATTTTACTTATTCCTCTGAATAATAGAGAGAAAAAGTAGGTTACAATTTTAATTTTGATACATTACATTGCATTTGACATTAATTCTAAAGCCTATGGTGATATGTTTTAAATGCTGAACCCGCTTGTTGTATACTTGTTTATGCACTTTTTCATGCAGAAAAGGTGCATAAGCATAGAGTAAAGTAAATTACGATTCCCTTGGTGTTGATTCGCCAAATTAGAAGAGAAACTTCGATTCCCAGGAATTCTGGCCATGAACTGCATCAATGAAATCTTGGGGAAAAATTGTGTGCCCCAAGAGTTTGAAGACTTCCTGCTTCAGATGTTCCAGCAGACATTCAGTTTGCTACAGAAAATCACAAAGTCCAGTAATACGAGTTCCACAGGAAACAGACTCGAGGAGCTGGATGAAGTGTGAGTAGTTATGTCTTTTTACACGACGATTTTTGTAGAAGCTAGGCCTCTAGGTAGGCAATTTGGCCCACAAGTTATTTTAGAAGCTGGACCTCTAGTTAGGAATTTTATTGCTCAGGCTATTTTAGAAGCTTCCGGAAAGTTATTGTTATTGTGGTCGCCCTTATAGATATTATGTGAATAGATATCAACGGCACAAATTGTTTTGGTCATGTTTGTTTGTTCTTGTAGTGGTGAATGTGGAAGTTAAGAATATCTATAAGTCTTTACTTTGTAATGGTTTATTATTACCTGTATCACCTGTCCTGGGCAACAACGTCATTGCACACCGGACAGGTCCATAAGTGCTCAGTTCCCTCCAGCACCAAAGCCCGCAAGGTATCCATACTGATAAAATTTATTTCCTACTTGAATATCATCAATACCTGTCCATTGCACCATCATGTTCATAATGTGTATCATAATATCTTTTCAGATATGTTGAGAAATTCACAGATTTCTTACGCTTGTTTGTGAGCGTCCATCTACGAAGATTTGAGTCCAACCCGCAGTTTCCAGTGCTAGAATTTCTCTCCCTTTTATTCAAGTATACATTTAAACAGGTATGGGCCACGTTGTTAACAATATAAACTGCATTCTTTTCAAGCTTTAAGATTCAACTATGATTCTATGATGTAAGAAACATGTCTCTTGATTCTGCTGATGTAGACATCATTGCTTTTATTTTTAATAGGCCCACAGTTTTGTTTTAAAATATCGTGTATTTCCTGTAGATTAGTAAAAAATTATCGCCGAAATTGTCCAAGACAGCCACTTATTGTTGAGTGGAAAAGTGGTTGTCCTAGACGTCTGGACATCTTGGACAGTGTCATTATGATATCCTTCTTAAAAAGGGGGAGGGGGGATAGTGTGATATGGCCAATTGTACAGACGATTTTGTGGGACATGTTGCCATTAGAGCAAGTTAGACTGTACTTATATAAGTACTTTGTACATTTTATATTGAATCTGTTCATTTACTTTGAATATACAGAATGAACCAACTCATATATAAAGTAATCAGATGCTTCGTTTTGTTGATGTCTTAAAAAAAATTCTGTGTCCTCAGCCCAGCATAGACGGCTATTACAGGTGTCTCGATATCTGGACCACTTTCCTGGATTTCTTAATCAGCAAACTGGACTCAAGATTAATAAGTTTAGACGACATTTCAGCAAGGTATTACTTTCTGTTACAATGTTTTTAATCAGTTTTTTTTTCTACTGAAGAATATATGTCCAGTATCTTTTTTAAAATTTCTATATAAAATCCTAAGATTTGCTCTGGTTCTCAAATGCTTTGGGTGGAGAAAATGAAGGAAAATTTCAGCCTTTAGCCGTTATGAAGGTATTGTGGATTTTTTCTCTTATAGTCATTCACAGGTATAATGGTGTACCCTTTGGTGTGGTCTGTCCTAATTACCTAGAACTCTCTGTCTCTTGATATTGTGGTAATGTTTTCTGGTAATGAAGTGGGTGGTTGGAGGGCACCATGGGTTGGACCTTTGTCTTTTTTTTATCTTCACTTGTTTCTGTCTGTCTATTTTGCTTTATCCCTGCACTTATTAACCATTATTGTGTTGGTTTTCTTCTGTGTACTTTAAAAAAAAATGCTTGGGTGTGGTTTGCTCCTTCTTTCCTGTCAAACCTCTCCTCTTTTTCTATGTACATTACTCTCTGGAAACACCTTTAGTCTTTGGCACTTATATGACCAAATTGTATGGCAACTGCCGTAAAACTAGTACCAAAACTTAAACCCCCCCCCCCCCCCCCACCAAAAACAAATCCTCAAATGAACAAACAAACCACTTCACTTATCCACAGATATAAAGAAGCCTTGACATCATTGCTTGCCAGTATACTTCAGAAGCTGCAGTTCCGTTACAATCAGTCTGAACTGGAGGAGTTGGACGATGATGTACTGGATGATGATGTAAGTTCAATACTTTTTTTCCCTTAATTAAGGAAACAATTTTTTTTTGCTGTTGAATATTCTTCATGTTAACTCTTATCCTGCGTCTGTGCCCAGATGCGTATCTTATCAGCAACCGATTACGTCGGACTCGCCGGGCAGGCCGCCGAGGTCACTCAGTGTGTACTGTTGGTGTACAGCGCGCGCGCCGGGAAACGTGTGTTTTCGACATGAATACCGCGGGAGTGTGTTAACTGATGATGAAAATAACGCTCTATCCTTCATAGCATTCTATTTATAAAGTGTTACAAACACATATAACCCCCTCTCACAAGCTGATAAGACATTACGAGTAGTTACGCCCATTTGAATAACCTTTCTGGACGCTCTTGTTGTTATGAATGACCTGAGGTTCGAAAAGGGATAATTTAGGTCAATTTCCGAATGTTTTACACTCAAATTGTTCTTTGTACCTGCACAAGGGTATTCAAAACTAGTAAACAAGCTCATTTTTTATCAGGTAGTATCATTTCATACAAAATCAAGCTCATTTGAAATATTTTGTATAGAAAAATGGAAGTCTTGTTTCCTGACTATCCTTTCGAGCTCCTCATGTCTAAGTGGGTCAATTTCTTCTATAATTTCATTGGACGAACATCTAGAGCTATCAACTTGGCATGTTTTGAATGAGACGTATGCCTCGATTACGAACCAACGCAGGTGGTTCTAGAAGAAGGCCACAAACGCACACAAACTTAAGCAGACTGACGCGCACACACTTGACCTGCGTGAATGGGGATCCGACTCGGGACCCGAATGACACGTAAGAGGATGCGCGCTGCGCGTGCGCTGAACCAGGAGCTACACTGACTCGGGACCAGAACGCAGGCGAGGTGCCGAAACAGGCTTATTGGGCTACATAAACCCGGCTCCCGCAGGATGAGGGTTAATGTCTTTTTTTTGCAATACTTCTTTTTCCTTAGAAGAAATATATATTTTTTTGCTGTTAAGTATTTTTCATGTTAATGTCTTTATTTGCTTTCTGTTCCCTTTTGTTCTTCCATCAGTCATTTTGTCTTTCCTTCAGTTACTAGTTAGTTCCAGGGGAGAGACTTTGGATATTTCAGATCAGGAACGGATGCTTCAAAAGCGCAACTCTCCATGTTGAGGATTTAAATTTTTTTTAAATGTCAGGTTCTGAACAGTTTTATAACTTTTCTATTTGTGTTCCCAATCAAGATGTCATGGGAAATAAACTTCATGTTCTGGTAGCCTTCGGTGTAGCTGTTTTAAAAAAAACACATATATACAGCTTATTATGTTATTGTCTTGATACATCTTAATACCAGCCTCGTTTTTTAAGTAGAAGTTTGCAGTTTCTCAAAGTTCTAGCCCTAGTTTCTTCATGATTTATAGTCTGCATTTCTATTTTTTTTAAATGCTCGGTGCGCAGTACAATAAAAAGTAATTTCTCATAACGGTTATTTTAATTCTTTGTCCAAGGCACCCAGTATGAGCTAGCTTGCTCTTTTTCTACTTTTCATCATTAAGTACTGTGTCATGCATGAAGGGCCTGTTGGTTTGATTTTTCTGTTCAGAAGAGTAGGTGCTCTGTTGAGCTGAGTGGTTCATGCGTAACCTAAGAACATACTAAGATCATAACTCTGTTCTACCTTCTAGCTTCACTTACTTGAGGCTGGTATCCAGTCAGATACTTTGGCAATGCAGATATAACCATTTACCTTAATTCACGAACCACCCCACCAGCTTTTCCTTATTTTGTCAATACCTTAATGTGATGAGAGGTTGCAGTAAGAATAAATTAACCCATGTACCCGTTGCTTTCTGCAGGATGAAACAGAATGGCAACATTTCTTGAGACAGAATCTGGAACTTGTTGCTAAAGTGGCAGAACTTTTCACAGCAGATGTGTTTCAAATATTGGTGAGTTTTATCTTTATTCCTTCTTGGTTGCTTTCTTTTCAGAATGGAGGCATTTTTTTTCTTTGATTATATTGGATTCAACTCTGTCATATGCACTATTCAAATTTAATTCTTTATTTACGTTGCCAGAAAAATATTAGTATATTGTCGAAAAACTAGAACTTTTTTTTAGAAATTCAGAAGAAATCTTGTTATTGTTTTAAAAAGATTGTTACACGTACTATCAAACAAAATATTTGCTGTTTCGTGAAGATGATTTGTAATGAGATCATTTTCAGTTCTGGGAACGTGGCAAAGTGCCAAGTTTGTTAAGATCTCGTCGCCTCAGAACTATTTTGTCCAAAGTTCAGGCACTTAACACTTTGCTGATCGGTGACGGCAAGAAGTCGTCCCTTTTGCCCAGGCGACGGTGTGATATAGCATATACTGCATCTGTATCCTGGTCTGTGGGGATTAGTGTTGCGCACTCTGCGCGCTGTGTGGGTGGACAAAATAGTTCTGAGGGAACTATCTATAGACTATCCAAATTTTCTTTCACCTTTCATTTTTCAGTGGGAACCATTTCAAGAGTATGTGGAAACTTTTTTTGGAATGGAGAAATATGTTGACAGCTCAGGCTCTGAGAGGAAACTTCTTGTCTCGGCGGAGAACGATTGCCGACGATTGCACTGTGCCCTCCGAGACCTTTCCTCACTGCTGCAAGCTTTGGGCAGACTGGCAACTCACTTCATCGGAGAACATTTCAGTGCCTGTTTTTCAAATGGGGCTCAAATTGTTACCAGGTAGGTTTATGCTTTAAAGACTGAAGACTTGATGGGATTTTTTATGTGACGGTATGCGAGTTTCCTATAGACTCGTCAAGGTTGTTCTTTATACGACTGTCAACAAATGCTGTAAATATAAACGAAGCATCTAAAATAACCTTGAAATGATAGAGTGTAAATCATATAATTATTACTTATTCATTCAGTTCTTAGATGTGCCACAATATACTCCCCCTTTCATAATGGACGGTTTTGTTACAGTAACATTAAACTGAGTCTATTTTAGATCTGGCACTTGAAGAAGCTTAGCAGACGTATTTACTGCATAACTTTTTTTATGCATCTTCTATCTTTTTTCTCATTTTGCCCATTTAGTTTTTGGTGAACATTTTGAATTCACGATTTGAATTGCATGATGTCATGTGTTGCAACACCTTCTAACATTTTGAGAATTACTTGATTTCAGGAATTTCTCTAAAAATCACAAATTCAAGTCTTGGATGGTACAAAAATTAGGTATTCAGTATTCTCTTTCTCTGATTTTTCAGACTGGTGGAAGTGATGTCGTACGGAAGTCGTGTCAAGCTGTTTGAAGTGACCACATCAGCCGGTGTATTACAACAGGACTTTATTGAACTGTACGTTACCTCCAATTTTCACTGATATTTGAACTGATGTTACCTCAAATATTTGAACTGTAGATGTTTTGTTTTTACAGAGATAAAGACTCAAAAATCTAAACCAATGCTTTCCATAGGGGGCGATATTGCTCGCTAGTGGGCGACTTGGATAATTTTGGTGGGTGATGGGAATCGCCGGAGTAGTGTCAAGTGTTATTTAATGCTCTGCTTGGAATTACATGTAGATGGGAGGTACGAAAATTTTAACTTCTTAAAGTTGACAAAAGTGGGTGCTGGCTATAAAAAAGCTGACAAAGACGGCTTTAAATGAAGGGTTTGTGAGTGATTGGCAGGTGCTTTGGTGTGATTTGCTCCTTCTTTCCCATTGAACTTGTTTTCCTTCTCTTTCCTCCTTCTTTTCTTTGTATGTTACTCTTTAGTCACCCCTGTAATCTTACATGACTATTTTTGTGTTGCAAGTGCTGTAAATCTCTTACAAAATCTAAACCGAATGTTTTTTTGGTCCTGTTTCTGTTGCCAGACATGCTCAGTCGCTGGCTGCTGTGAAGGCGTACACCCATTGGATGTCCCAATTCTACTCAGAGAGCCTGCGCACCAACCAACACCAGGACCAGTTCCGCTCCATGGTGATGACCGTCACTGAGGCCTTGGCGCCTCTAATTAACAAACAGGTAGGACGGCTGGGAAAGTAAGAGAAAATTGGGAGGTTTTTGGGGGATTTTTTTCAGGGAAAGGTTATTTTTTAGTTATCAATGTTTAGTTAATTTTTAGTGATCAATGTTTAGTTAGTTTTTAGTGATCAATGTTTAGTTGATTTTTAGTGATCGATATATTGCATTTAAGATTTTGTTTACACTATTTTTTAACTCAGTACAGTCACATCAATATAATATGTTTCCTTTTTTAAAAATTGATCGTGGGTGGTTGGCGGGTGCTCTGATGTGGTTTGCTTCTTCTTTCTTGTCAAACATCTATCATCCTTGTCTCCCCTTCTTCTTTTTTATGTTTGTTACTCTCTTGTAACACCTCTAATCTTCTGGCACTCATATGACCTTATGCAGTTGCGAGCGCCGTAAAACGTCTACTATTACGAACTAACTAAAAAATTTATCTTTCGTGTATTTTCAGACTCCAGAGAAAATTGTCCCCTCGAGCACTCGTTTACTGTTGCCCATCCCCACAACTTTTAAGAATTTTTTTTTTGAATTTTCAGACTAGAGAGAAAATTGATCTTTTTTGTATCTTCAGACTCCGGAGAAGATTGTCCACTCGAGCGCTCATTTGTTGTTGTCCATCAGCACAACCGTTCGTCCGGCGTTTCTGTTGGAGTCCCCGGCTGTCCTTTCCCTGTATGACAATGCCATCCAAGGACTGTACCAAGCTCTCTCTGTGCAGGTTTGTGTGCTGGAATCAGCTAGTCTTGTAAGCTTGGTCCTGCGCTCGATGTACTGGGTTTGTTTCATTTGAGAGCTTTTTCTTCTTATGACTAGATTTGGTAGGTGGTTAGTGGGTACTACAGGTGGGTCTAGGTGAGTTTGATTCCACAGTAGGGAAATTTTTATTGTTTCTCTCTGCGTGATGAGATGCAGTGTCCCACTGAGCCCGATTACTCTCGGTCTACCTCTGCCTCTTGTACCTCCTATTTTTCTAGTGCCTTCAGAATGATTTAACTCTTTGCATCCTATCAGAAACTAGTTTAGTGAACATGTACATTTCTAGGAATACTGATCAGGAAGCCAACGGTTAAATTATATCAGTTGGGACAGAAAACATTTTTAATAACATTGACAAATTTGGTATCTTCTCCCCCCACCCCCAGGTCCAGCTACTGGTGTACCGATCCCTGTCCCACTACCTTGTGTTGCCGTGGCCGCTGCCTGTGTCGGGGAACCAGGACTGGGACAAGCGGGCGGAGCACCACAAGCTTCTCGTCTCACGACTCACGGCAAAGTTCACAGCGATGGCCGCCACACCCGAGTTTGCTGCCTCCCCAGCTGCTCAAGAACAAGGTAAACATTTTGTGCTGCTCATGAAACAGTAACAGGCTTTCCAACTGTCTTGAGTTGCCCGGGACTGTCCCATCTAGTATGAGCTACTGTCAGAATAAACATCAATGTGTATTGCTGTTTCGAATACACATGTATCTATATAACTCTAATGGTCTTTTGATAAATTACTGCTTGTGGTCGAATAATGCATCTGATGTGATATATACATTATTGTCCGCTTTTCTTTTCATATTGAATTTTAATGTACGGTCCTGTGTAGCCAAGAAAAATGTCCCTCTGGGACAATAAAGTATTATCTTATCTTATCTTAATTTGGCAGTCAGGAATCTAAAAGCCTTATCACATACACTGTACCAAAACCAGTCCCACTTTATGTCATTGTGTTCTTTGTTACGTAATCTGAAATGGTGTCGGTAGTCTAGTGGTAAGGCTACCGGACTCGTAATCGTGAGGTTGCGAGTTCAGGGGTTTGAGCCTCAGGCCCGATGTTGTGTCCTTGGGAAAGGCACTTTACACGAATTTTCCCCATTTCACACAGGTGGGAATGGGTATCCAGTCATAGGCTGCTAAAGATCTTGTCAGTATGTTAGTGATCAAGAGCCTATAAAATGGCAGATTGTGCTGTATGCTTCCCAGGAAGTTGAGATTGTTTCAGAATACTATTAGGTCTTTTGGGGTAATAAAGATTGTAAAGCACATAGAGCTTGCTGTTAAGCGGGAATGTGTGCTATACAAATGCTGTTTATTATTATTATTTAAATTGTGGGTGTCTCTGATTGGGTACTGAAAAAGTTGGCACGTCTGCGGTTAGTTCTTGAAGTCCAGTTAGATCCAGTGCTTTGGAAGGAATGGTTTGGTAGGAGTGCACCTCTGGTTTGGGCTTACTAATGACCGTTACTATGTCCAATTTTCTTCTCCTTACTGACATTCAAAACTCTGATGTAAAGGGGTGTGTTTGTTTTTGGGTCCTGGTTTATACAGTTGAACTTGTAAATGTGTTCCTCCCCCATTGATACAGTTGAGGAGATGGGCTGCTTTGACCCTGCCTGTCAGGACCAACCCAAAGTTATATCCCAGCAGACAAGCAGAATTGATCTTTAAAGGGGAGCCCGTCTCACATCATCTACATATCTACCCAAAGGTTCCCTTGTGGATCATAAAGTTTTATCTTACTTTATCTTATCGTGTCTTCTCTTATCTTATTTTATCTTATCCTATATTGTCTGCTGCAAAAAGCTTCATCATACCACACAAGCTGATAGAGAGGGTTTGAGTCTGCAGTTCCTAATGTTGAAGTGACAGAACTGAATAGAGGAGAAACTCAGTAGAATTTTTCTAACCTGGAACTTTGTGTGGCAGTGGCATACAGTCGAACCTGCTCTAACGGCCACTAGTTTAAGAAAATCACCTGTACGAACGGCCTCTTCCCACTTCCCCCCTTGCATTGTTTATTTTTACATTATAATGAAACTGTCCGCAAAGTCCACCTGTCTAAGACAACCACCTTTCTCTTTGACAATGGGTGGCCGTCTTGGACATCTTCGACTGTACTTAATGAGTAGTTGGCGGGTACTCTGGTATGTTTCACTCCTTCTTTCCTATCAAACATCTATCGTCCGTACCTCTCCTTTTATTATATTTGTTACTCTTTTGTAACACATCTGTTCTTCGGCACTTATATGACCTTATTTTGTTACAAGTGCCGTAAAAATCTTACTAAAACTAAAAAACTTTGACTGTACTTACTTTGTGGGGTGGATATGCTCACAGTCGTACTGGTACGTTTCAGCCAAACCAGTGGTGAAGTGGACGATGCAGGTGTGCCAGGACTGGGTGGAGTCTCTGGCCGGCGAGGTGGTCAAGTCCAAACAGATGTGCTGCCTGTCCCTGCAGGAGGTCACGCAGACGGCACTGGCCATCTTCCCGGTCTATGTCAAGGACGCGGAGGTCATAGGTCATGTTGTGGCCTTCTTCCTGGCTGTGTTCAAAGGGCTGCGGGTGCAGATGGGCATGGCGTCCCTAGAGAAAATTGTGCACACTTTTATGAATGTCTTCTCGTCGTAAGTTTGTCGGAAATTTTTATGAGAGTGTTCCTTTTTGTTTTATTTTGCTGAGAAAAGATGGACATCAAAATGTCGTATTGGTGTGTGTTTTTAACATAAGGATTCAGAGATTAAATGAGTGTGTGAATGTTTAAGAAGTCCTTTGATATCCTTGATGGTCATTGGCTCTCAATAAATGTAATAAAGGGAAAGATTGATTTGAGCTCAGAATGGTAAGTTATTTTGCCCTGGGTTTCTGCAAACATTGATTTTTATGTTTGGTATAAATAATAATATAAATAACAAGGTTGTTTGGAACTCTGGTGCCAAGAAAATCTCTATATACAGTTAAAGTTTCTTCCTATGGAATGGCTAAGTACTTCTCACTATCGTTTTTTTCAGTATTTGCTTTGTATTCAGTAATGTGGGTTCACATTTTTCTGGTTTCCCTTGTAAAGTTTTTCGCTGGTAGAAAAATAGTTTGGTCACTTTAAGATCACTTTAAATAAAAATGGTTTTAGGTTTTATGTACTTTTTTTTTTAGAAACTGAGGTCTGAATATTTGTTATTGATATGATTAAAAAGTGAGCAGCTTAGCAACCTTTTCATGAGATTTAATTGGTGTTTTGTCCTTTGGAGGGGGATTAGTAACATTTTAAACGTTCTTTGTTCTTTTTTCTTTCTCAAATTGTGTGTAATGAATTTCTGGATTGTATTTTAAGTATAACATTCAGTTTTACACCTGCTGTTCTCATCAGCCTTCTGACAGTTTGTTTGAGGATGTTATTTTCTCATTTTTAGAATGTTCTCTAGAGGTGTCCACATTTCTGTAATGTTTTTTTATCTGAATCTCTAACAAATATTTTTTTAAATCCATGTTATCAACAGCATGGCCAAACATGGTAGCTCAGTTGTAATTGGTGCTGCTTTCTGTTTGTTTTGTGAAACAGTTGTGTTATATAACAAGGGTCCAATGATCTCATTTTTATCTATAGGCCTTATTTTGAAACATTTGAATGATTTTGTCAATTTTTTAAATATTTTTTTTCAGAGACATGTTGGCACAGATCATCAACCAAGAGACCAGTGGGGCTTTCAGAGTTATTGAAAAGTTAGTGAAATTTCTGTTTCGCTCCACAAAAAAAAAAAATGAGGCATCATCTTAGGGGGTCCAGTAGAATTAAGATTGGGGTTGATGTACAGGGCTGAATATTGATATTATATGAATTTGGTGAAATACAGTAGATACTATTGTTTCGTCAATTTATGCTGATGTGATCATCACGCCTTTGATTCATGATTTGTATTGATGTACAATCCAGATTTTGAATATGAGGTCTACTGAGGAGAGGATCCTAAGGAATAAAAATTTTCTCTGGCTCATGCGGTCAAGAGTTGCCATTGTCAGTGTATTGACTACACTGGTTGGTTCACTGCCTATGTTTACACATCTGTTGTGAGCCCATCTGATTCTGACCTTACTCAATACTGGATGCTATTTGGACTTAACTAGCCATTTTAGGGCAACACTTATCGCATCATTTTGCTGTTTTTAACGCCGTCATGCACACAGTTAGTTCGTGCTTCACCGGGTACTGTTTTGAATCCCCAGGGACACAGAGTAGGGCAAAGGTTAAGTGGTCAGTTTCCTATAATTGGACCTGGTTTGCAAATACTACTAACTGCCTTTAAAAGGAAAAGATATATTCGTACGTAAAAAATATTCCCAAATGTAAGTCTGCAATTGGTTTTACGAAATGCATCTAATATAAGCAGCATGCACTATACAATCTATGATGAACGCCGCTGATCATCATGGTCCTCGCACTTCGCAAGACATGACGAACGCTGTACGTCACAGCCGTATCTTGGCTTGTTCACCGTATAAGAAAAATGATGAACGGGGTACATCATATAGGTCACAAAGGGGTTAATCAGTTGGAAAAGATTTTCAGGATAATTAATAACAAGTACAAAAGCTCTCAATTCATTGCATTCTTGTGGTAAAGATGTGGCTAGGGTAGCCTGAGGACATTATCGTTGATTTTGTTTGGCTTAACGTTTGGATCCTCCCAGCCTGTTGTACATGATGTAGTCGTTGTATATCTAATGATTACTAAAAAGTACACTGTCTCCACCTTGACCACAATGCTTTTTATTTCAGTTTCCTTATTCTTTTGGAATTGATTGTCCAAGAGCCCGGCTCTCAGTTCAAAGCATTCCTCCCCCGTGTTGTGTCCATTTCCCTGGGCCAGATACATCCCATCGTGGCTCCTGTGAGTGATTGTGGTTTTCATAGCTTGTGCATGATGTACTTATTCAATTATTTTGTTTTGTTTTGGTGAACTGGGGGCCTCTTTTTAGCTCAATGTTAATTACTTTCATCATCGTCTTTTTGCTTAAAGAGTTTAATTCGTATAAAAAGGTTTGAAAATAAAAGAAAGAAAAGGTAGACTTGATTTCACTTTTTGGAGTGCCAAGGATCATTGTTTTGTTTTAGTAAGGTTTTACGGCGCTCACAACTACATAAGATCATATGAGCGCCAAGAGGTTTATGTCAACAGAGAAGTCCAAACGTGGAATCATGCTTACTCTGCTCACCTCTCTACCCTCAACAGCACAACGTCTGCTTCGACTATCAAAGCACCCTGGAAATAACAGTTCACAAGAGAGTGACAAACGTACAAAAGAAGTAGAGTAAAATGATGATAATAAGGATGAGGAAATAGAAAACAGCACTTCCCCCTATGTTGTTCCAGCACTGTATGATCATGACATTGATAAATCAGTCCATTTACAATTCTACTGTGCATAAGAACATGTTAATATCCCCCCCTTTGGGAATGGCCTGAAAACACTTCAGTCAGTAGCACTGCCCCGGGGGGTGGGGGGGGGACGACACGCATCATTGGTTTCGTATACGATAAGTGGATTTTATAAACAGTGACATGATTTTCTGTAAATTTTTCACTTATCAAATCTCTTAGTACGCGAAGGAAGCATTTTGATGAATTGAAAGCTTTTTATTTCACTTACATATTTCACCATCTATGAGTCTGTTCAAAGTTAAGAATTAGAATTTTGATTGTGAATCCTTCATGCTGATTGCCCTGCAACATTGTGCACAGTGAGGGGTGAAGACACAAATAAAACTACTGCACTAGAAATGGGGTATTGTGGAATATGTAGATTGCTTGTGACACTTATATGTTCACTTGAAGACAAATTATTTGTGGGCAGTTACAAGTGGGACATCTTTCCCTCTGTTGTTACCATTTATCTTTTTTTTTTCTTTTCCCCCAGTGCTTAATGGCCATTATTGGGTCAAAATATTATCTTTACTCAAACAAAATGGGTGGTTGGTGGGCGGTCTAGCTTGGTTTTTTCCTTTTTTTCTACCAAACATCTGTCGTCATTATCTCTCCTCCTCCTTTTCTTTGTGTGTTACTCTCTTGTAATATCTCTAATCTTTGTCATTTACCCAATCCGATTGTGTTGCAAGTGCCGTAAAACTTTTACTTAAACTAAACCTCAAACAAACAAAACCCAGCTTGTTTTTGTGTTTTCTTCCAGCGCCAGTCCCCAGACTTAAAGTGCACTTCCTATCACCTGATGCATGAGATCCTGATGAACAACTGGAGGTACTTCTTTAGAGGCTCAGTGCTGGACTCCATGAAGGAAGGAGTGGAAGACTTGGAGAACAGCGAACAGTTTGTGGCCATTTTACAGGTGACTGTCTCCATTCAATAATGTGTTGTTAGATTGGGAGGTCTCATCTCTTAAAAAACTTACATTGTGAAAATGAGTTTTTAAACTATGTGTATCTGCAAGGCTCCTGTTTGTCAGACCTTTGTTTCACAATGCTGTTCCTTATGAATTCCTTAGATGCAAAGTTCACTGCACTTTGAGATACAAGGAGTAAGTTGTTTCTTCGTACAGTATAACACGGATAGCTTGAATTCAGTGGGACCTGCCTCTGTAGGTAGAGGGGTTCATAGTTCAAGAGATATCTTACAAAGATAAAGAAGGATTTTTTAAAAATGGGACTGAAGGCACAGTTCGACGGATGCGTGATTTCGAGTCTTCTGTGTTCGACCTATCCCTGTTATACTGTACTTCTGTCTACTTTTTTCATTGTGTTTTTTTTGTTTGTTCCAGGCATATGGACAATCTTTCCTGCAGTCGGACATCAGTATCTTCAGGCAGAACCTTGATTCCCTGGAAAGCCTTCACTTTAAGTGGAAGTTGTACAATAAGGTAAACTCAAGACTTCTGTCTAAAGGCTACTTACAACTTAAGTTTTAGTAAGAAATGTCAAAGAAATAGAACACTCTCTTATGACCTTATGCAGTTGCGAGCCCCGTAAAGCTCTTACTAAATTAAAGAAATAGAAGGAGCAGACCACACCAGAGTGGCCTCCAACTAAGTGCGTGTGGAGATGGTTGGAAGGCTGAGATTTTACAGTCTTTCTCTTGTTTTTGTTGGTATTGTTGCTTTCCTTCACCTTCACCTTTCCTGTAATCTGGCTGACTAGTGGGGCACCATTGTAGGTTTTTCTAATAGCTTCTTCCACTGCTCGGGGTTCTCAGCTTTCCGCAATATGATGTTCCAGTCATGGCCAGTCCACCTTTTGATGTTCTTTTCCTATTGTTTCCTCTGTCTCCTTCCTTGTGCTGTTCCCTGTAGGATAGTCTTGGCCAGTCCAGATGACCAGGAGATGTGCCCATACCACTTCAGTTTACATCTTTTTACTAAAAGAGCCAAAATCAAATTGTTGTATCATTTTGTCGTTAAATTGTAAATTGCTTTTTCCCATTCATACTTTTCTCGATGTCAAATCAGTGTGCTTCTCTTTATGAAACGAGCAATAATGATTCTGTGAAAACTTATGCTCTCCTCTCACTGTGCTAGTGTTACTGACATCACAGATCCTTTCGTATCTATATTTTCTCATTTTTATTTCTCAGAAAATCTTCAAGAAAGTCATGTGTCCCCAATTCCTGACGGTGCTACTGCAAGTGTTGGTGCAGAAGTCACATGACCTTCTACAGGAAGAGATCGTCATTTCTGTGTACAACATGGCCGCTGCAGACTTTGAAGCTTTCTTCTCTCAGTTCTTACCGCAGTTCTTGCACTCCTTGCCAGGCATCGACGACAATCAGAAATCTGTTCTTGCTAACAACTTTAAAACGGAACAGGTGAGGAAGGCTGACATGCTCATTTGCTTGTTTGTTTGGTTTTTTTTCTGATGTATACGAAAGACTCTTGAACTTCAGTTATTTGTCTATCTTTTTCTGATAACAGTAGCAATTTTAAGATGGATTACCTAAATCGTTGCATGTAGTCTTTGCTGACCAACATGCATCATCAAGGGATTATTGCAACTTATCTACTCTGTCTGCCAAAATGAAGTTTAACACATTACACCCTAAGGGCCTGGACGGGAAGTCCATTGTTAGATCCTAAGCAAGGGGAAAGAACCCACCTTCCGTGAATACTAGCCTATAAAAAACACATTTTAAAAATACTAAACAAATTCCAAAAATCCTGAAAAAATAAAAGTTAAAAAGAAAACTGAATGTAGTTTCAGAAAAATATAACTTTATGTATGCGCAAACTGTTGGAAATGTTCTAACTTTAGTTCAATCGGGGTGTCCGACCCGTCACTCTCACTCTCAGCCTCGCGGTCGGGCCGTAGATCTAAATTCTAGATTTTCTCCGTCTGATCAATCGGAATCGCCTCAAACTCATCCTACAACGTTTTCATCAAAATCTGAGCCATCTGATTTGTCGCATGCTCATTTTTGCTCAAATCCATCGTTATTTCCGTTTTCGAACTCAATTGTGTCGCTTTTCAACAAGTCGAGACACTTTCGAAGTGTCGGTAACGCGATCGCACTTCGATCAGCTCTAATACTAAAACTACTGACCCAAAAAATCGGTATCAAACGAAAGAAGAAACTTTCTGCTATACTATGCAAATCAAAATCCCGGCCCAAGAGTCTCGTCAAGGCGAGACTTTCGTTTCTAAAGACGCTGGGTCGGCGGGGGCGGTTCCGGGCGAGTCAGGGTGGAGCGCGTAAGGGAACTCACGGGCGATCCCAGGCGAGTTAGGGTGTAATGTGTTAAGTAGAGTTTTTACGACGCTCACAACTGCATAAGGTCATATGAGCGCCTACACATCTTTCTACCTAATTGACCCACATTTGGCCCCTGAAAGAAAATACTCCCCCCTGGGGCGGTGCCACTGACTGTAGTGTCTTTAGGCCATTCCCAAAGGAGAGACATTTCTCGTTCATGCACAGTAGAATTGTAAATGGGCTGATTCATCATGTCACGCTCATAACTGTGCCTGATCACAACAGGGAACTGCTGCTTTTTCTTTCCTAATTTTTACTATTGTCATTTTCCTCTACTTCTTTTGTATGTTTGTAACTCTCTTGTGACCTGCTATTTCCGAGGGGCCTTGATAGTGGAAGCAGACTTTGTGCTGTTGAAGTTAGAGAGGTGAGCAGAATAAGTCTGATTCCCTGTAAAGACTTCTCTGTTGACACCCACCCCTTGGCGCTCATATGACCTTATGCAGTTGCGAACGCTGTAAAACCCTCTACTAAAAAAAAAGAAAAAAAGAAAAGAAAATACCCTGTAGTCGAAACAATGGATGTAAAAGGAATATGTAATGTGCTTTATTTTTTAGATGGGGCATCTGAGGATGTCTTTCTTAGTGAGGCCTCGCTCACTTTTTGTGAGGCAGAGCAAAGTTTTAAATATAGCACTTTGAAAAACTATCGAGTTTATAACTTTCTTTACTGAAGTGGGCTCAATATCATCATGTTCCTAGAGCTTTAAGTATTTAAGCAGCATTCTTTTATAGAAATCATAGAGCAGGTTGGAACTTAAGAAATTTGTTGTGTGAATGCACATGTAATAGATCAGGTAGTAGTTACAAAGCAAAGGTAAACATCTTCATTTGCCCCTAATGTTATGCTTCTGATTACTTAAAATTGGTTAAGAGTTTCATTATTTAATCTGTGAACAGTATGTTTTTATTTTTTTAAAAAGATTTTGCAGATGGTCTCACAGCACCACTGGTACAGCTTTTTTTCCACTTTGTCTGTCATGCTTTTTCTGTGCTAAAAGTGTTTTTCTCTTTACACAAAAAAATGAAAAGATTTTTTTAATCTATAACTTACAAAACTGCCATCATTTTCATTTTTCTTATTTCTTGTCTTTGCAGGATTTGCCATCCTTCACTCAGACTGTTCAGCGGTTTGTGAACGACATACGTTATTATTCACTCATCAACAGCAGTTTGCCCGCAGGTTCCATCTCATTCACGTAGTATTAAAATACTTCTGTCAATGGGAAATGTTTGCTCAATGTAAGTCCATCTGCTAAAGAAACGAATAACCCCCCATCCCCACCTCCCCACCTCCACAACAAATGACTGTGGAGATCCACTTTATCGATTCTGCGTTTTCTGTTAAAGAAAAAAAATTGAATGAGGTGTGATAATTTGACTTCCATGTTTTGAGTCGGGAGCTCATTTCAGTGGCTGGGTGCAAGTTTGCAATGAAGTGTGTGTGTGTGTGTGTTTCTATGTGTGTGGGGGAGGAGGGGGAGGGGGGTGGGGAGTGGTGCTATTCTTTTCTTTTGCTGCCATCAAAGTCCCTCTCCTGTTGGAGAAATTCGTTCCATAGAGCAAAATATGGTTTGCCTCCATTGTGGACTGATGCAGAGGGGCCAAGATAGAAGGACAGTCTGGATGTGTTTGCTTGGCTCGAGGACAGAAAGAACCAGTGCACGACAAAAGCCTTACTTCAACCTTTTGGATTTATAAATGCTGTTCTGTTGAGCAAATCAAAATTGGTTCCACTGCCTGTCACTTTCAGCATGTCTGTATAAATAATATATGGTGCTCTTGGTGTAAGTTAAATGCTTTTTGTAGCTTTGCTAAATAAATGTATTTTGTTGTGTTTGTTTATATTTGCCTACCACTGTATTGTTCATACTTTTGAATATTACAACATTTTTCTTGTACACTGTCTTTATGTACATTTAAAAGATAAAGTACATATATTTTTGTATATATTTATATATTATTTGAGTATTATGCTAAGTCTGTTGTAAAATATTTGACTGTGTCATAGACGGATTATTTTGTTTTTCAAGAACTTTCTGAAACCATGAGATGATGCGAGAGAAACTTTCTGTTGCTGTGCTGAATGCTTGTGCATAAACTAGAATAGTTTGGTTATCACTGTGGTATTGGTGTTGGTATTGCTCTGTAAGTTAGATGGAAATAAAACTCATTTTGAAAATAAAAGTAGCAACATCAGTGTCGATCATAGAGAGTATGCAAAGGAAAGTTGCTGGGGGTATTTTCTGTGTATGGAGGGGAAGGGGACGAGGGAACTTCTTTTTGAATCATTTGCTTTAATTTACTTTAACTTTTTAACCCTGGAATTATTTTCTACGTTTCGAAGGATTTTTTTTTTCAGATCTCATGAAATATGTAATGGGATATACACGCAAAATGTTCTCAAAATGGCTAAAACTGAAAGAGGAAGTAGTTTATTTATTTATCCAACACTTCGGAGTCCAAACAAATCTACTCGGATTTGTAAGAGATTGCATTAACAGTAATAGTAATAGTTCATACACCCTGTCATCACCCCCAGGGCAATGCCACTGACTGAAATGTCTTTAGGGCCATTCCCAAAGGGGGGACATAAACCTGTTCTTATGCACAGTAGAATTGTAATTGTGAATGGGCTGATTCATCAATGTCATGCTCATAACTGTGTCTGAACTGCAACAGGGAACTGCTGCTTTTTCTTTCCTAAATCCTTACTATTGTCATTTTTTCCTCTACTTCTTTTGTATGTTTGTCACACTCTTGTGACTCGCTATTTCAGGGGTGCCTTGATAGTCGAAGCAGACTTTGTGCTGTTGAAGCTGCAGAGGTGAGCAGAGTAAGTCTGATTCCCTGAGGAGACTTCTTTGTTGACATCCACTCCTTGGCGCTCATATGACCTTATGCAGTTGCGAGCGTCGTAAAAACTCTACTTAATAAAAATCCCCATAACCCTGTCAACTGATCGGATGCCAGGGCTGTCCACTCGGGGACCGGGCAAATTTCACTGGACGCTCCCAACGTCCATTTAGGGTAATATAGTTAATGTTGGGGTTGGGGGGGGTGAGACGAGGATGGAAACATCTGGTGGAGTGTACATGATACAGGTGTGAACCCAGCACCAAGCTTTCTACGTGGAAGATTTTGTTATTTTATGGGGAGCGTGCTGATGAGTGTTGTCCGTTGTAGGTATATAAGGGTTTTCTCTAAACATTCCCCCAGTATACTTCATTTTGCTTGTTGTTGGCTGGTTTAATTATTTTTGTTTGTTTGTCGCAGCAAAACTGTATCCATGTTTGTTGTAAGGCAAATTTTGATGGTTAAATAGTTCCAAGTCTGTGTAAATCGCTCTCGAAGTGAAATGATTCATCGGTGTTCGATACATTTGCTTCTTTTGTTGCCATTTACGTGGGTCCAGTGGATGGTTATCGAGTGCTCTGGTATGGCTTGCTCCCTCTCTCCTATCAAACATTGTTCTTGTCTCTCCTCCCCTTTAAATGTTACTCTCTAGTAGTATAACTCTAACTTTTGGCTCTTATATGACGTAATGACCTATTTGTTTTTCAAATGCCGTAAAACTCTTACTGAAACTAAAACCTCTTTGTATTTGATGCATCTGTGCACCAGACTGGCTTTTCTCGGTAGCTTCTCTTCCTTTATGTTGCTTGTGTTGATGGTTCTTGCCCTTGGTCAGTATACTTTGTAATGTTTTTGTATTTTTTTGTGTTGAAATCACATGCTTTTTTTCTGTGTTTCCAAAAGGCTGTCCCCGCGGTTTTAGGCAAAAAAAATTCTGTAGTCATTCGAACTGAGCCCAAAAATGTGAAATTATGCGATTCTGTTAATTTTAACAAAGAATGATAAAGGAAAGTAATCAGAAATTATGCAAAAAATGATCAAATTTTGCTAAATTATGCAGAGTGCTTAAAACCCCGGGGACAGAAAAGGGAGTGAAATTTCCTACAGAGCCATCAATTGATGTTTCCCTGCCAGCAAAATCCTCTTTGTTTGTGGAAAAAAGTTTTTCCTCCTGTTCTACGCTTTGCACGGTGGAAGAGATGCGACCATGATGCGTCTACTGTCTATGAAGCTTTTGTCACCTAATCTGTTGTTCCTACAAATATGATTGTATTTCTGCTAAACTTAACTCATTCAGGATGTAAGTTTGTTTTGTTTCAGTGGTTGAAACCATTTGAACGTAATTCTTTTGTGACCTGGCAAATCATTTCGAGGGTATGGAAATAAAACGGCTTTTACAGATGGTGTAGTAACCATTGCAGTGGCCGTTATACATCATTGGAAAGGTAGTTGAATGTTGATGTTCACTGATATCACAAAGGCAATGGAGTAGAAATAATAATAATAATAATAATAATAATGATGAAACTAAATTTCGACCCTGTTCACATTATCGATTTATCGACGCTACATCTGAGAAGAGCTAAACTTTCTTAGATCTTGGGTAGATCTACTCTTATTTCTTTTGTGATTTTATTATTTTCCAAAGCAGATAAGGTTGTTTGATCATTTATTCTCTGTGGGTAACTATTGTCCCTTACACATGCAGTACTTGGGATATAGAAGCAAAGGCAAACTTTAGAATCAACAACAGGTAGTAAATATATTTGTCACTGACATGGCAGACATGTTTGTGTATAATGAATTGCTCTGAGGTATGAAAATGCGTGCACTCCATTTATCCTTTTGGTCGACCTAAATAAACTTCAAACACTGACAGTACAAAAGGCAGGCTTCAAATTACTGAGGCTAAAATGGCAGTGAGACTAACAAAGATGATGGACCTCTCTTGGCAAGTTTATTTGATTCAGGTCACTGAATGATTCAGTTTCCAAGTTCATTGAGTAGTGCTCCATGTAATGTATTGTTGCAAAATTAGCATGTGCGCACAAAAATACCAGCTTGCATTTAACAGAACTGATTGTAATATAATACTCTGCTCTCTGCCCAGATGCATGATTTGTTAAAGCATGCTTGGTTTCAAATGTGTAGCCTTTTGTCTTAGGACAGATCTTTTCCTTATGAATTGTGTGTTAACTCACAGTACAATAGCTTCTTAATACTCTCGCTGCATTGATCATTGCGGGAACCCACCAACAGTTTTCTTGGGTTGAAATGAAAACTGAAAACCTTTCAGTCTTTGACCTACCTGTGCATTTTTTTGACAAAGGCAGAAAATAAGTGAATTAACTGAATGAATGCATTACAATCCGCATAAACCAAAATCTGCGGGATCGGTGGATTTTTCTTCGGTTTAGCCTGGTTTTTTGTTTGGAGAGGTTGCTCAAATACACAGATTTTAGGTCATCTGGTGCAGAAATGGAAAAAGCTTAAAATACTCTCCCTCACTTCCCTTACTTATGTCCCTGGAAAATATACTAGCGGGTGAGAGAAAGCAATTTCGACTGTACAGAAAAAAAATGTCTGACGGAAGGCACTTGCATTACATGCGACATTATAATAATATACTTGGTGCAAGGTAAATCTTAAAGATGCAAGCGCTAACATAGTTGACAGACAAACCTGGGGAACATTCTCCTTTTGACAGGTTCAGGAAAGTACAAAATGTAGATACACACTTTGTGTAAATTTTATGTAAATCAAACATGACATGACCCCTCCCCGGCATCATGTTTTTAGGAAGATTCTGCTGTACTTGTCAGGCCAAATCATAAATTAGAGTATGAACTAAAGGTAATTATTTTTTCCCCGTTGTGCTTACTACAGTCGAAATTGTGTAAGACAGCCACCCATTGTTGAGAGAAAGATGGTTTTCTTACACAGGTGGACGTATTGGACAGTGTCTTTAAAAAATGCAAGGAAGTTGGTTGTTTGTGCAGGTGGTTGTCTCGGACAGGATCTACTGTAGTTCCATCCTCCCAGTGGACAAAGAGTGATGACACTATCATCTATGAATGTACAATGTGAATTTGGCTATTTTTATGCATACTGTGAATGTTTATAAGCACGTTAATTGTCATATGTTAAAGTTAATGTTGAATTTGAAGAATAAATCCTTATTAATTATTAATGTCTACTGCTGTGTTTGGGAATGTTCTTTTTAGGGTGAATCAGTCTTTTGTTTCTGCTACTTTCAATCCCCCTCTCCTTTTTCAGTTTTAAGCAGCTTTAGGTCAAGTGGTTGGCGGGTGCCCTGGTTTGCTCTTTTTTTTCCTATCAAACATTTATTGTCTGTATCTCTCCTCTTTTTTTGCTGTTTTTGTTACTCTCTTTTAACACTTCTATTCATCGATAATTGTGTTGCAAGTGCCTTAAAAGTGCCACTAATACTTATACTAAAGCAGCAATAGGTCAATGCACGTGTTCCTTTATAAGGATCCATGAATAAGAAATGCTGAAGCCAAGAGAGAATCATGCAAGTTGCTCACATCATCCACAAGTGGAAGTGATGCTTTTTGAATTGTCAAAATGTGGCAAACTCTTCCCTGCCAGACTTAGTGTCATTGGTCATGGCAGAACCCATAAGTAGTCATAATCCTTCTATTTCTGTTTCTCTTTAAGTTGAAGAAATATTCTTCTATGCTGATGTGAATTGGTCATCACCAGACATTGATGGATGAACTGTTTTCATTATTAGCCCATGTATTCTTATAATTTTTACTGCACCCTGTCGACTTCCTCATTATTTACTTCATCCTTTTGGCCAGAACACTCATAATGAATCCTCACATCAACTCATTCAGTCTCATTTTGAGGAGCGTCTGATTTCACACTGTCCCACAGATTTCCATGTCCTGCATGTCCATGCCACAAAAATGAGAGCACAACACCCCATTTTAAATGTGCCTCACTCTTCCTAGACCCCAATGGGGCTAGTTACAAAAAGCCTGTAACTGAGATAATAACAAAATGCTGGATTGCAGATCAAAATCTCAACACATTTGAGTGTTTGTTCCGTTGTTTTACATAACTGTCTAAAAAAATTGCTACTTAGGTCTCACATGCACTTCCTTTTTTTTTACACAAAGTTGTACAATGAGTTTTTAGATCAGCAGCTGAAGACTACGCTATCATACTTATTTACTAACTCTCTCCCTATACTGTCAGGTACATAAGGCAGTGAGAAGTCAACGCCATGCCTGCCTGACCCTGGCCACGTTCTCCAATTTTGGCACATCCAGGCTCAAGGGGAAGAAATATTCTTCTGTGCTGATGTGAATTGGTCATCACCAGACATTGATGGATGAACTGTTTTCATTATCATCCCATGTATTCTTATAATTCTTACTGCACCCTCATCCCTTATTGTGCCTCTATAGCTTCCAGTTGGTCTTCCTCATTTTCTTTCTCCAGTTGGTCTCCAATACCATGTCTGATAGTGATAGGGCAATTTTGTCTTCGGCATTCTTAGAACATGTTTCTATCTCTTACGCTGTCATGCAATAGCTGAGCACACACAATCCAACTACACAGCCCTCCCACCTCACTGCCGGTCAGCATGTCCTCTATTCCAGTCAAGTTTTACCAAATGAGCCAACAGAGCTCTTACTGTACTGAACATATCAATTATTCAATTTGAAAAAAAAAAATCACCCCTCCCTGGGATCTTCAGTGTCACCATATTCAGTGGAATTTGCTTAAACTAAACCAAAATTTCCCTGACCTTCAGATTTTCTTCCATTTAGCTGGGTTTTCAGTTAAGTCTACAGAGGTTGCTCAAATAGAGGGTGAAAAACATGAATTTGACTTTTTTCAGTTTTCTGCAGTTTTCAGATTCACTGTGTTCGGTTGAAGCAGATTCCACTGTGTTTTTCACCACACGGCTGAAAATTCAACTTGCGAGAATTATAACAGAAAGCCAAAATAAAATTAGTCTTGTATTTTGTTTGGGGGGGACCATGATCTATCTTTTGGTCAAACAAAACAAAAATGTGCTGGCAGTCACAAAAGAAACAAACATGAAAAGTTTTACCATTATTAAATAAATGCAAAGTAGTCTAAAGTTTTTTTCCTTATCTCTGAAGTAGCAAAAAAGACGTACCAGGTATTATTTTGCTGGCACAGAGACGAAATGTAGTACTATTATGTAATTACAAACAAGAAAAAGACAAAAACCAAAGTACACAAATGACAACATTTTTATTTACCTTCAGAATACATAAGCACATACCCTGAGCACACATGTCATTATAACCCCCTTTCATAGCATTAGATAAAAAGAAAAATAAGAAATCCTACGACAGGAAAGTTCAAGAAAGCTAATTTTCAAGTATTCACAGAATTATGTCCAAGCAGTTTTATTAAAAATGGGGCAACACTAAAAAAGACAATGTACTTGTGGCACCCTGCTGATTACAGCGACACACTTTGGATAATTCAGGAGGTGGGCTTTGACCTGGCCTGCCTGTTAGAGCTCAATCAGTGCCGAGAAGGATTGGTCTTCTACGTGCAGCAGCAAAGCACCTGGCCTATAACGATGTAAGTCTGAAACATCTTTAAATTTATGAAGAGCATGTCACTAGTAAAAAGAATCAGGAAGAAGTAAAGGTAACACTGTCACTCAAATCCTTTCATCTGGAAAAAGTTACACAAAAACAACAACAGGAGCACTACCTCACAGTCAGTTCAGTTCTCCCAAGAGTGTATAATAACTCCTGTCATCCGCCATTTATTTATGAAAAATTTGCACCAAGCACTGTAAGTAGTGCTAAATACCAAAACTGGATTATGAGTTCTGAGCTGCCTGAAAGAAGGTGGCATTAAAATTAACAGTTATTGAGTGGGCAGCAAATCATATGAGGCTTCACGAATTAGAGATGCTAAAGCCAAGAGAGAAGCCCACAAGCTGTGTACATCCCCAAGTGGAATTCAAAATATGGTAAACTGTTCCCTGACACCTGACAGAATTTGTCCTATTGGCCATAGCAGAAGCCACAAACCATCATAATCCTTATTTCTTCTATTTCTCTTTAAGAAATATTCTCTTCTTCAGATGTATCGATCATCATCCGACATTGACGGATGAACTATTATTGTTATAAAGAGTGAGAAAATCTGACAAAGTCAACATGGCAACATCCTATTTCATCACACCAACTGGTGACATTTACAAAATTCTTAAAAGCTAAAAGAGGCACTAATTTTTAAGGTTTTTTTTTTTTTACCACAGCCAGATGTCTCTAAGAAGAGTGGCTTCAACACTCTTCCCTGATTAAATTTTTTATTTTATGTGAACTTCAAAAATCATGTCACTGGTTCGAAAACACTAGACTCAGAAAACCCAGTGATTGCTGCCTCGCCCATCATGGCATGAGATTTCTTCCCATCCAAGAGGGCCTTTGTGTTAACATTGTATTTTCAAACAGCACAACGTCGGCCTTGTGATAAAATCAGTTAACTTCAGCAGCAAAGTAAATTTTACAGGAGAAGCAAAAACCTTAACCAACCTGATGGCTGGCTTTATAATGTTTTAGTAGCATCTGTACACAAAATTCAAACTAGTCTTTGACTGAGAATATGAAATGGATAATTTACCATCAATTCGAAAAAAAAATAAAAAATTTTTCAGGGTTAGCTGGTGCCATCACAAGGGCGACAATAATCTTCTTGTCGCTGTTCAAAACCACAACATAGAGACATCATCAAAGGGAAAAAATATTCCAATGGAATTATGTACACGAAGAAACTGTTCCCGCTGCCTTTGCCTCCTTCATCCTGAGCAGCCCCGACATCCACAGTGAACGCACTCCACAATCTTGCCCTACGATAGCAAAAAGACAAATTACTTATTAATAAAAGATTATAACATTATTCCCAAATCATACAGGAAGACAAGATTAATTCTAAGAAACACTAAGCGCATGAATAAAAATAGTAACTTGCTTCACTTATATTGACAAGAAAGTTTTACTAACTGTACTTTTTTTCTTTTTTAGGGGGGTGGGGGTGGTGGTAAGTGTTTTACAGCGCTCGCAACTACATAAGGTCGTATGAGCTTGCAGGACACATTAAACATTTTCAGTAAGGGAGGAATTAATGTTGAATTTTGCCAGATTGGCAGCCAAAGCCTACTTTGATCAATTTTGCACGACCAAAGGATCTTTAATGTGCGCAACTTGCACACGGGACTCCGAGATTTGTCTGTCCTTATCCCGGAAAGCTAGGCGTTAGGTCTTACCTACCCTAAGATCAGGGGTGTGGCTGAAAGACAGTGGTAAAAATGAGCCAAAGAGTAACAGTAGAAAGGCTGCAGAAAGAGTCAGGAGCCCAGAGGAGGGGGCAGAAGAGGTGAGAGGGTGGGGGCAGAAAGTGAAGACGAAAGTAGACCATAGGAAATTGTTAAGAGTCTAACTTAGAGAGCAGGAAAGGATGTGAAAGGAAAAAAATTTAGAGAAGAAAATTTTTCATCCCCATCCGTATTTGTACCCCAGGACCTATTGAATGAGAGGCGAACACCTTAACCTCTGGACCACGAGAGCCCCCTTAACTGTATGTGAAGATAGCAATGGAGAAGCTACACACTCGAAATTATTGCCTTAAGCATACACTACTTCCACGGTCTACTCTACAGAACTGTCAAACTGAACTACAGATTCAGTCAGAACTTTGTAACACAAGAAGGTACAATAGTAATAGAAAATCGAAGTACAGTAAGTTTTGAGAGAGAGAGAGAGAGAGAGAGAGGGAGGGAGGGAGAGAGAGAGAGAGAGAGAGAGAGAGAGAGAGAGAGAGAGAGAGAGAGAGACAGAGAGAGGGAGGGAGGGAGGGACAGAGGGAGGGAGGGAGAGAGAGAGAAAGAGAGAGAGAGTAAATCAACATTGAGAGTAGATGTCATTTCCACTACTGTACAACATACACTCGTGCATTGACAGGAAAGAATCAACACGCTTATAAAGTGTTTGGTACTGATAAAAGATAACACAGTTTACTTAGACCTGCATGTGAGCCTCAACCAGATTGTCTGAAAATTTTGCGCACCCCCCCTCCCAAAGCCTTTGTAGGAGTCATAAGGAAAGACTATCCGAGTAACGAGCGACCACCCCAACAAACACAATAAAGAAGAGACCTAATCCTAACCATACCCCCAAAAAGAACCTGCAACGGGCCTCATGTAAAAAGACCAAAACAAGTCCTCAATGAAAAAAAAATTTAAAATTAAAAAAACCACACTCCAAAACAAACAAGGAGCATATAGATCTAATTCTAGATCTAGATCTAGAATCGGTAGAATCTATATGGCTCACATCTACATTGCTTTTGGGTTTGATACAATAACACAACAGAATTGGAATATGAATACTCAATATAGATATAGTAATCTAAATAAATCTAGATCTACATCTTGTAGAACAAGTGAATAGGAATAGGCCTTGAACTAGAAATCCGTATCCGATTCCGAACAGAGGGACTCAGCTGAGTCTAGATTCTAGATCTAGATTAGATCTAGATGTAAATGTAGATCTAGATCTAAATAAATAAATAATTCACGCACCTGATGAAATGCTTATTTTTACCAATATTAATATTACAGCACAACCTATGATAGGGTTTGACACAATAGAATTGGAATATGAATCCTCCATTGAGGTCTATAATGATCTCTATATAAATCTAAATCTTGATCTAGATCAAGATTCTATTAGAACAAGAGAGTCGGACTTGAATGAATCCACATGATCTGAACAATTGAATTAGTCAACAAACGAAATTAAAAATGGCCGCTCGAGTACGAAACTGAAAGTAGATAATTTAGGTTGTCGTTCTTTTTCGTATTCGCATTTCTACTTAGGTTCAGACAATTATGTCGGAAATGCCGACGAAGCCGACGGGAGAAAAAGGGGTCGCTGGCAATCGGCCAGGCCTCGCACTACGCACATTGACTGATACAGGCGGGCCTAGCGATAGCATTGGCCGGTTCGCGGGTCGGGTCGCGATTGTCGGATTTCAGACGATTGTCGGCAAACATGCAGGTCTATTTACTTCTATGAAAAGTACAGAATAAAAGCAAAGAAGTAGTCTGAAAAAAATAATCCCAAAGCTATTGAGCATTGAGAAAAAAATGCTACCACCTACTTTAAGAAATCTCAATTCCTCCATTCAATCTCTAGAGATCTCAACTCTGAACTCATAATAATATGATAATGAAATGGAAGAGCAAGACAAAAAAACAACTGGATTTAGATTTGTTTGTAAAACCAAACTTTATAAATGCTAATGAGAGAAGACATTTTCTGTTATAATGACATAATGTATCAGGAATTTGAGAATCAATTCTTACTCCGACAAAAGAACTGTCTTGTTTATTTCTCATACTTACAGATTCAAGTTTTGATCTGGGAACCCGACAAATGCAGTTGGCACCAAAATTTGTGTCTCTAGCCTGAATGCAACGAAGACAACAAAGGTTTTCATAACCCTGCTTCTTCCACTTGGCAATCAAATTCTTGTCAGCGATGTTCTCCTTCAGGCAGTACTCGTAGAGTTCTGGAGATAGCAAAACGGACACAGAATTGGTGAATAAATTATCCACCTACAAAAGTACTCATACAGTTCTGAGGACAGCAAAACAGACGCGGAACGGAAGAATAAATCATCTACCTCCTACAGACAGTATTCAAACAGTTCTGAGAATAGCAAAACAGACGCAGAACGGGTGAATAAATCATCCACCTACAGACAGAGAGGAAGAAAAGTGACCAGAGACAGTAGAGGTCAGCCACCACAATGTTGTGCCACTTCATCTTGAATTACAAAACAAGCAGTTACTTCTATTTCCACATAATTTGTTTCCCCACCTTTTGAATCATTGATAGTTGATACTGGGATATATTATTCAATATAATACAACAAATATTCTCAAAGTAAAAAATGTGAATGACAATATAAAACATCAAACAAATATAGACTTTGGTACTTTGATTAATAAAAAGTCAAATTAATGTCCTCAAATTTCTTTGCTTCTTCTACAACCAAATCCCCAACTTGTAACTTAATCAATTTCAATCTTTATCATAAATGCCACATATGCAGAACGAGGGGTATTGCAATTTCTAAATAAAAAGCCTAACCCGAGACAAAAGTATTATTTGTTAAAGTCGTAAAAAGAAAAAGAACTATCAAATCTATCTGAACATATGATGTTTACAATCGTAGAGAACACTTACACTTATTTATACCGATACTCAATATTGTGAGTAATTCTATATAATAACTGTATGTCTGGGATGAATTTGCAAGTCCTTCATCATCATCAAGTGCCAGATCTATGGTTCTCCATTCATTCATTTGCTGGGATGCTCTCAAAAAAGCATCCTAATATTTCCCCATCACCCGTTTTGGCTCTTCGAGTAGGTTGCTTTGAGTCTTCCCCCTGCCCTGTTTGCCCTCAATTTTGCCAGTGAGAGCTAGATGTTGAAGGCCTTTATGTCTATTCAAGCGTCCCAGAAACTGCATTTTTCTTCTCCTGGTTGTTTTTATAGAAGTGAGTGGCCCATGTGGGCTTCTTCAAGAACAGTCGAATCTGTGTAAGCGGAATCGCAAGGGAGCCAGAAAAAAATGTAGTCTTAGACATGGGAATTTGGGGGGGGGGGGGGTTCAAAGGCTCTGCCGGTGGGATCAAGGAACATCTGGTCGGCAAGCAGTGGCCACACCTCACACCTCTCAACTGCTATCCTCTCTGATAATGACATGCGTAAGTCTTACTTATCCAATTGCCACCAGTGCTTGCATTTCAATTTCATAGGATCACTATTTGACCTATTAAAAACAGAAACGTTTGAACATCCCCTTTGCTTCCACTCTTACCCGCACCCATCGGTGAAACAAGCACAGTCAACCAATGCCACCCCTCACCATCATGTAACAACGATTTGAGGAATTCTTTTCTTGGCTGGCCTTACGATCAGGGTGGGAGGCATTGGTCAGACTAATTTCACACCTCTGGCTTCTGGCAAGCCAGGAAAGTTTCCATTGTAGCTGGCTACTCGAGCACTTTCACCGGCACTCATGAGATTTCACACCAACACCACTCTGACCATCTGCATTGCTCAGGGCTCACATAGATGGGGTAACATCTACCCTTAAATTGCATCCCTACTACCCTTCCTCGCCAGGCGGCATGGCGTTAAGTTTAAAGCCAGCGGATTTCAGCGGAACCAAACTTGCGGGTTTTGTTTCAAACCAGGGCTGGTCAGGCAAAGCATTTTCCATCTTAGACAGGTTTCCGTTTTATACAGGTAACTAAAGAGGAATGTATTAAGGGGAGAGCGGGGAGATTCCGTTAAGACAGGTTTCCGTTTTACAAAGGTGTCCAATAAGGCAGGTTCGATAGTACTACTTTTATTTGATTTGCATTCCTGTACATGTAGATAAAATAACATTTTCTATTACAATAAGCTTGAATCTGTGACATTTTGTTTCTTCATCAAAAATTAACTGTGAGGAGTACTTTTCGAGAATATTTTTGGATCAACGAGAAATAAAAGAACAAATTTTTTTGCATACCTCTGCTGATAGCCTTTCTGCGGTAGAAGAGATCATAGATGTATCTGGACTTTTGATGATGCAGCCGGAATATAGGCCACAAGGCCTCCACTTTCCTTTTGCCTTCATGGGGCTCCGTTTCAGCTATTGGAAAAAAGAAAGAAGAACAATGTAACCAATATTTCATACCTACCATACTGCTCTTAATCTTACTAGAACTTAAACGTCCAGAAAATAAAACTAAGAAGCAATCTTCAATCCATTATAATATGAAAACCCCCCAACCAAAACTAGATAAATTTGAATAAAACTGCAAGTTAGGTAGGTCATTATCAAAATGGGACATTTACCACTGAAACCAAGTGACTCCCATTTATTTAAATCGCAAATATCTTGACTTCTATTTCTATTAAAGGTAAAAACTAGTCTTTTTAAAATCAAAATGTAGACAAAAGAACAAGCTTTAAGATAATATAAAAGACTCTATATACCCCGAAATTGCTCAGTACCTGATCCCACCATGTTGTGGTACATATTATATTATATATACAATCAAACCTGTGTAAGACGGCCACCCATTGTCAAGGAGAAAAGTGGCCGTATAAGACAGGTGGCCGTCTTAGGCAGGACCGATCAAGATAAAGGAAACAAACCATTCCCCTCTGAGGCCCCAATCGAAAGTAGCTGCATTGTTGTTGTCTTTGTTGGTGTTGTTGCTGTTGGTTTGTACTTCGTTTGTAATGTTTATTTTGTCGCTGATTTTGGACAATGGTGACAATAAAACGAAATGTATCAAACAAGAAAGACCGAGTGCCATGTTAAAACAAACACATGGGTCGCCACCACTCGGTGAACGAGGGACGCTTCTGTAACAAGTTCATGTTGACGTCCTTTGTTACTTTGTTACAGACTGGGTAAACAGTAACCACTCATCTCACTTACGATTTGTGTATGAGTTCTGGGCGGGGCTTATGGGTTATGACGGATCACACGCTTACCTCACCAGCAGCTGAAAATTGGTAGCTATTGGTCAACAGTGGGAGGGGCATACGCAACATGATCGGTTGGAGGGACTACCTAACAACAACGACAGGTGATTGAATTATGACGGCTCGCCCACAATGCCAGAGGCAAATGCACAATTTATGACAAAACGTAATGGAGTCACTATCACTAAGGTGACCGTCTTAGACAGGTATTATTGTTTAATATTATAGGGGTTGTGTGTTAAATTATTGTGGCCGCGGCCGCGTTGGACAGGTGCCCGTTTTACACAGTTAAATTATATAGAAAAAACGCAAGGGGGGAAATGGAAAGTGGCCGTTTGTACAAGTGGCCGTCAGGGCAGGTTCGACTGTATATATTCATAAATTCAAGTCGAATCAATTACTAAATAAATTATAAAAAGGGACATGTTCGCCCCCTCCCCCCATCTCGACCAGCGTAAAATGTAAAAAAGGCAGATAGATGTACTAAGACAATGTAAGTACGTTAAGGATAAAAGAACAAAACTTTGCACCTCGACTGGAGTTGGGAGTAGACTCTTCTAGTTCTAGACCCTATGACTCCTATGCTCTCTTTAGAAAGACCTGAGCTATTTTTTGAGAACGAAGGCTTACATGTACTGTAGGAAAGGTGGGGGTGGGGGTAATTTTAGTAATAGTAGTCATTCCAGAATTTTTAAACGTTAAATGAGAGAAACTCACTCTGAGTCTAAGAGTTTCTGCGAGAATGCACCTTATACAAAAATAATGGGCCTATTATCATAATTTTATAATGCCAAATGAAGAAAAGTTAAATGAAAAAAAGGAACAGGAACATCAACATTCATCAACAAAAATTTAAGCGTGGAAACTGCTAAAATGACACAGAGCGTGTCATTTTCATTTCCCCTAATTCATAATACTGATCAAGTTAAAAATAGACATGATCATGATGACACTTTTGTTAGACTTCATACCTTTGTGAGAATTCGCAATTTTGAAGGCATATTTTTCTAATTGTAGCGGATTATATTACGATTTTAGATTTGGAGTCAGAGCCTTCGTGTCCATTGGGACAGACACGACCCGATTTTTTGTCAGGAGGAAGAAAATCAGTCAGGTCGTTTCCGTCTTGTGTGTCCACACACACCCGAAAAGACACGTCTAGTCTGTTGGCCTACTTATTCCCCGAATGTGTACGTTAGACCGCTGTAGTGGCGGGCTGTGTTCTCGGTACGGGGCTACAAATAGCCAAGAGGTCACATGA